TTATTGTCAAAACATTCATTAGAATCCAGAGAATAAAAAAACAATATTAGTTGAAAAGACTTTTCATATTATTATATATTATTATTAAAGTCCTGAAACTTTGAAGTGGGGACAGTGAGGGCATTATAGTTTGTCGTTCAAACTCACAAAATATTTGCTGATCCGTTCAGATCATCTGACTGACATGCGAATGACCGGCATTTGCAAGTTTTAGAGGTTGTTGACCTGCACCTCCCTTATTCCTGAATGCCAACAGCTAACAGGAGTTTGGCTCCTGACACCAAAGCTGCACATTATATGGATCCTTTCTTCCTGCTAGACAGGTATAGACCAGATAACGAATGCTACAAATAAAAGTGAAATTATGAAATTATACCTGAACTGAAATAAAAAGCAGAAACCAGAGTCAGTACAGCGATCTTCAGTGACCTCTATTGAAAAGTGCAGCACCAGCTGTGCCCGGTCTTGTTGACAGGCAGCCGGAAAGGCTATAGCTCTTCAGTGTCTCATAACGTACAAACACCATTAAAGCTGAGACAAACAGCATTAAAACAGTGTCGAAGCTGAAAGCATTCAGATGGATTTGTTCAGCTTTGTGAGGTAAACACTGGGAACAGATGTTTTTTTTCTAAACAGAATAGCGATGGTGAAAAGAATAGTTTGACATGTTGGGAAATACACCAATAACACAAACAGCTGTCAGTTGAATATGAAACTACAGTCAGGAGAGGGTTAAGTTAGCTTAGCTTAGCATAAACAAGGAGGCAAAAATGTCTTACCGGCATCTCTAAAGCTCACTAATTAACACCGTAGTTGGTGAACACATCTCTTTTGTTCAATCCAGACTTAAAGCAAAGTGTAAAAACTTTGTGCTGTTACGGTGGGTTATGGGTCAGACTATTTCTAGGCCAGAGAGTCCAGCTAGCTGTGTTCTCCAGCTCATGACCCCTCGACAAAGCCGAAGGTGTTTGTTTATAAGAATTAAAACGAAACATAATGTGTCAATAAATGAACTTTTTTGTGAGCTGAGCTGATTTTGTTACTTTCAGCCAGAGCCAGGTTAGCTGTTTCCCCCCTGCTTCCAGTCTTTATACCAAGCTAAGCTAACTGGCTGTAACCTCTTTAGTGTACAGATATCAGAGTGGTATCGATCTTCTCATTTAACTTTCGCCAGCGATAGCAAATAAAGCTTATTTAATGTCAGACTATTCCTTTAAATCAGTATCGCATGAACTTGTAAACTGTTATTGCCTTTGAAAGTGAAACAAAGACATGACCAGAGCAGCCTGTTCAGATACAAGTTAATCTTTACCATCTTTATTGAGATGTGAAATGTGACTGACATTGTAACAACAGACTGGGTGGCATCGGCCTGTGTCAAAGTGAGATACTGTGTGCAGTGGTAACAAATAATGGCAGGATGGAGGTTTGACTGCAGAGGGGAAGAGGGAGAAATAAAACACTGAGCAGTATCACAGATCAGTTACAATCTGGATACTCAGCACATTCCTACACACACACACACACACACACACACACACACACACACACACACACACACACACACACACACACACACACACACACACACACACACACACACACACACACACACACACACACACACACACACACACACACACCTTTCTAAATGAGGGGGGGATCAAACCTGATGATAGTTTACCCTCCACACAGACACACACATACACAGATCTCAGCAGACTCGAGATGAAGAAGCAGAGTGAAGATGCAGTGATAGTTTGCACAGCCAGATAGGCGTGTTATAGTAAACCTGGTTATGAAAACAAAATACAAAGGCAGGCGAAGCAACCAGCAAATGACACCAGAGCTGTGAAATAAAACAATATGAAAAGGACAATATTGTAGTATATAAAGTATATTCCAGGGCTTTTTTTCACCAATAAATCAATTGATTGCTTTATTAATTTTTTGAACAGAATTTGCAAATATTAGATGGTTTTAGCTTCTCAAAGGTCTTATAAATAATAGTAAACTGAATAACTTGGGGTTTTGGACTGTAGATAAAGAAAAAGGAGTACAACATCTTCACTTTGGGCTCTGAAACTCTGAGCTTTTTACTATTTTCTGATGTTTTGTTGTTTTTACCTCTCAAATACGCGACATTTGTGCTTAAAAATTGACTTTAACAATTAAATCATCAAAACAGTTGCCATTTCATTGTCTTTTGATCAACTAATTGATTGATGGACTACTTGTTGCAGCTTTTGGTCATCACATTCACATCACAAATCATCTTTAAAGTGTTTCCTTTATAATGGTCCCTACATTATATTGTTATATTATACAAACTAAGGTAGATATAAACATACCACAATATTTGAATTAAGTGCTGATTTTCATTTGCAAAAAGTTTCGCAATTGAATTCACAGGAAATTATGAAATAAAATCATTACTGTGACTGGCGATGTTATCTCATCTCCCAACTATGACCAAACATATATGAAATGATTCATAGCACAAATCTTAAAACTAAAACATTCACTTTTTTAGGCCGATGACTAACTTACACGTCTGACTGATTAGAAAAAAAAAAAAATGATGCATGATACACCCTGATGATACATACATGGACCTCGAGCTTAGTCAGCAAAAGAATGTGATTTCACAAGTGTAATGTTAGATAATTAGTCCCTTCTGCATTCAACCAGAAAGAAAGACTCAAGATGTCCTTGGCTTTTTTTAAAATTATATTAGCTAAATCAATATGTCCAAGAAATCCTTAACATTTCATCTGCAGAAAGGTTTTTACCTAGGTTTTTCTTTCATTGAGTTTGTCCCTAGAAAACAGTGGCGGACGAAGTATTCAGATCCTCTACTTAAACCTACTGATGCCTCTATGACCTACATAATCACAACATCAGTGAGAAGATTGTCTATTTTTACATAGTTTTTCTTAATGCCTGCTGCCAGGATCAACACATAATGAAAGTTCCTTATTGCTGCTTTAAGTAGAAGTATTAATACCACACTGTAAAAATACTTTGTTACAAGTTTAAGTCCTGCATTGAAAATGTTACTTGCAAGATTTTATTGTTTTAGTAGGTTGAGCTAATTTTTAACTATTTTATATAGGACTGCATCTAATGATGATTTTCATGACGGATTAATCTGTTTATTACCGTTTTCTCCATTAAACAGTTAAATGTTTTCTTTGTAAAGTTTCAGAAAATAGTGAGAAATTATGTCAGAATTAAACAGAGCCAAAAGTGACTCCATCACAAAAGGTTGTTTTGTCCAACTAATAGTCCAAACCCCTTAAAACAGTATGAAAATAATTAAAAGGAAAACAGCTAATCCTCACATCTGTGAAGCTGGAACCACTTAATGTTCATAATAAAGCACAATAATAACCCCAACCCTATTTTACAACTCATCATATGTTTTGTGTGTAAGAATTCTAATTTATAAAGTAACTTAAGGTGTCAAATAATCGTAGTGAAGTAAAAATAAAGTACAATATTCCCCTCTGATTAGATTAGATTAGAAGTATAAAGTAGCATGAAAAGTATCATTTAAGAAATTTCAAACTTATACTTGAGTAAATGTACTGAGTTACATTCCACAACTGCCTAAAGATTAAGACTCTTCTACACAAAATGGACATGCAGGGCGTTGACAGTGGACTCAGGTGTGAACACACATTTTGAGTGTAGAGGGGGGGTTTGAACAGCAGAATGGTCATTATCATTCCTCTCCGTCAGGTAGCAGATGGGTCCACAACTGGATGCACACTCACACAAAAGTTGCAACCTTTAATGTTTCTTGCTCCCTTTACAGAGTTTCCACCTCAGGCGAGTTCTAGTTTAGCCCCATATATCACCCTGAGAAACAGCTACAGAAAATAAACTCTTTGAGGAATGAACATCCCCGATTCCTCCCTTCTTTCATCGCCATCCTCATGGTGACAGAAAATGTGAGCAGACATGACACAAACAGCTGGAAGATGTCAGTTCTCTTAATGGCTTTTTGTCGTACATGGAGTCCAGAGCAAGTCGCAACAAGCCGCTTTGTTCCTTGTACATTATTCACAACAACAGAGACCACTCTCATCACACATACAAAGACAAACACATGCATGCACGCACGCACGCGCCACACACACACACACACACACACACACACACACACACACACACACACACACACACACACACACACACACACACACACACACACACACACACACACACACCTGGTCTCCAGTTTCCAAAACAGGATTTTAACTGTCACAAAAAAAGAGATTCATTGACAATGATCTTTGCTCTTCCTCCTAACCCAGTGTTCAGAAAAAGAAAAAGGGGCCACAGGGTGCAGGGTGCATTCACAGAGTCTGGAAATTATTCATCAAAGAAACAAAAGAGACAGCTTGAGATTGAGCTTCATGGTTACTTCCAAACAATGTATTTAAATAGTTTGTCTCAGCAAATCAGCACTTTAAAAGCCAGATAGTGAGATAAGATAGGATGTATCTTGTGTTAACCCAAATGATTTCCTAAAGAAGAATCACTCCAGTGACAGCAAGAGATCAACAAAAGTCTCTGCAGGACTCTTACTCACTGCTGAGAAAGAGTCTGGCCTGTTTGGACAAGATAGAGACCAATGATGACTTGCATTGTTTCATTCTATTGCTGTGAGTGTAAAATCACTGCAATTAATGTGTCAATATGTATATCCTGTCTTTTTAAAACAGGTGTCAGTAACTTCTAATCTTGAGCATGAAGCAACAAGTAGATTATCTGTGATAGATCAATAAATCATGTGTGCGTTGGGCAATCCCATGCGTCACTTTGCAAACCTCTCAATAAAAGCAGGTTTCTTTAAATGATTTTTAGAGTCATATTTCTTATTTAGACGCACCAAAAAGTTAACGCACAACAGATGAGCTTTACAGCCTGAAAACAAGCACATTTTCAGCCATATTGTCAGGAGGAGGGTTAGAACAAGGGTAGACACTCACCAACAGTGACACAAAGAACATCCACCACGATCAGAATCAGCTTCTTTCCTTGCTCTGTCATGTTTCCTCCGATATCGCTTCACTTTCATGAATAAATAACGTTTAAAAGCAGAGGGGTTGTAATCAAAGAAACGCCCAGAGTTACTATGGAAAAGTTACTATCAGGATAAGTCGACCTGCTCGTTCTTCCGGCTCCACTCCTGTGTACCTGCCTGTCTTTCTGTCTGTCTGCCTGTATGCCTGCCTGTCTGTCTGTACACTGCACTGTTTCAGGTGAGCTGCAGAGGACGCGTAACGCTGCGTCCTGTGTGTCCTGCCTTTTTACGCATGGGGGGTGGGGGAGAGTCTTTCCGCATGTAAACAGCGCTCACAAAGGATTACGTTTTTCCCGAAAACCTCCCTCTGGACTGAGGGAAAATCCGCACTTCCTCTTTACTTTCCCTTTCTCTGCTTCGCCCTCTTGGATTTGGATAATCACATCCAAGCTGTGAGTGAACCACGTGGTTAACTCTTTGCGTAAAGGCACGGAAGAAGGAGAGTTGTTTTACGCACATCACTCGGGTGCAAGGCTGTCAGAAAGAGGCATGAGTGGAAAAACATTCACTCACTGCCACCAAAAATTAAACTTTGCCATTAGTAAAAGATATTTTGTGGCAGTGAGTGAGTGTGCAGGATTCACCGTTTTAGTTTCAATTAAGGCAGGGCACAACCTACAACTACCTCAGATAGCATGATAATATTTTCACAGTAGCCTCAAACTGATTTATATTCATATTATGGAAGACTATTTCTGCCAACAAAACATAAAAAAAAAACCAAAACAGAACAGAACAAGTTAGGAATAATAAAAGCGAGATCAAGTCAAAGTCAAAAGTTTCTAAAAGTGTGTTTTAAAAAGTTACATTTTTGGCCATTTAATGATTCTGACTTTGTATCTCACAGTTGTGACTCAGAAGTCAAAATGTAGACATAAAAAGTCTTGAGTCTGACTTAAAGGTTCACTGTGTAACATTTAGGAAGATCTATTGAAATGGAATATAATATTCATTGGTATGTTTTCATTGTGTATAATCACCTGTTACCTTAAAATGAGCTGTTTTTATCTACAGAAGGATACAGTCTGTAGTACAGAGTCCTCTTCTACGGAGTCCGCCATGTTTCTACAGTAGCCCAGAACGGACAAACCACTGGCTCTAGATAAAGCCGTCTGTGTGTTTCTCCTACATCCTTGGAAGGCTGAGCTGTATTCAAATGGTTGTAATCTGCAACTTCACTGCTAGATGCCACTAAACCCTACACACTGGTCCTTTAGTATGTTTTGACTATGTCCATTTTAATTATTCATGACTTTATCTGCAGTTCTTTTCTTATCTTGGCAGAAAATTGCTCATATGATACGGAAATAGACTTGTCCAAAAAGGCACATCGTTTATCAGTTAGGGAAATATTTAATCCAAAATCAACAGTGACTAGCCTTTGGATACTTTTTGTGCCCAAATGTGGGAATCAGACTCTTTTATCTGACAATGCTTGATTTTTTTTTTGAACGACAGTATGAAACATCTTCTGTTAAGTCAACACATGTATATGTTGCAGAGATATTGTGCCAGTATCTTTTGTAATTTTTGTTTTTTTTCGTGTCTTGGCAGACTTAGACTTCCATACTCAGTTTCATTTAGCTGCTTCCATTTCAGGGTCATGGCATTGTTCATGCTGGCTCACAGTCACACTGTAATGTCTTACTGGGACACTTGAATAAAGCGGCTGTTAATGTTATTAATAACTCTTTTCCTACTAGACAAGTCAAAATGTTTACTGTGAAAAAAAACGACAAACAAACTGAATAAATGTTCCAGTCTAGAAGATATTAAATTAATCTGCTCGATTGAAAACAACTGTCAACCACACAAGTTATGCAGGACAAATAAGTTAAGACAAACTTTCAATCATCACATAGCATATTTGTTTTAATGTTGAAACAGTGGTTCATGCATTGACTACACATCTCAACATCCTTAAACATAAAAAAAAAAAATCACATTCTTAAATAATCGCAAACACTGCTACAAACGTGGCTCGTTTTAATGTTGAATTCAAGTCAGCAGCATTTTAGCTACAAACAAGGTCTGAATATGAAGTATGTGTGTTTTCAAAGTAACATGAGATGACAGAACTCCAAAGAGCTGAGAACGTCTGAACGGCAAGTGTGTACCAGAGAAAAAAATGTAATATGTTGAGATTAGACACACTGCATCAACATTGAGAATCAGCTGCCACCAGGAGAAACGGACCAACAGGAATGTAATGGACATACAGTACACAGTACAAAAATGCTGTTAACTGGCATGCAATCTAGTCAAGTCTTTGTATGCTGTCAAAATTAAAAACATTTAATAAAATATATATTTTTCATATAACAATCACAAATAATACAGTGTCTATAAAAAGTGTTCAACCTTTTGAAACAAAGAGGATGTGATTGAAGTAACAGTTGGAGGTTTTGGGAAATATGCTTATTCGCTTTTTGGCTAAGAGTTAGATGAGAAGACTGACACCACTCTGTGGTTTGTACGAAAGATATACAGCTACAGCCGCTTAGCTTAGCTTAGCTTAGCTTAGCTTTGCTTAGCATAACATAATGACTGGAAACAGGTGTAAACAGCTAGCCTGGCTCTGCCCACAAGTAAGCCAATAAGCCCTACTCAGAACCACAGATTGTTTTTACACTTAAGATTTTGTACAGATTACACAAACATGTGCCCATAAGTGAGCTTTACAGGTGCTGGTAGGCCATTTTTCTTTACCTTTGGACTGAGCCAGGTTATTATTTTAACATATATCTGGATACTGAGCATTAAAAATGTCAGGAAAAATCTAATCTTTTCTCTCAGACTGATTTAAAACAGATTTTAAATTGAAATTAGATGAGATTTAAAGACAAACACATTTTACAACTCTCCAGTCCGCGATGACAAAATAATGAAAGCTTTGATAAAAAGTCAAAGTGTGTGTTCATATTATGTGCATATTATTTATAAATACTGCAATAAAACTAATCAGCTTTATTTTTCCCTGGAATCAAACTAGGGGTTACACTCCACAGGACAGTAGGAAAATTCCACAAAAAGAGTTTGAGGAAAAGGTGAAAGCGACGTAGTTAAAGAGTCAGAGAGAGCATCGGTGCGAGTGTAGGCGTCGGGCTGGAGCGACGGGACCGAGTTACAGAGGTTTCGAGAAAAAGGATTTTGTGGCGAGGCGACCTGAACTGGGTGATAGAGGAAGACGGAGGAATGAGAGATGCTGTTGAAGTCGGAGAAAGAGGCAGGGTTTTGATGCTGTCTCAGTAACTGATGCAAGTTTTTCAGCTTATCTGTTTGGGAAAGAGGTGAATCAGACCTCGCAGTGCTCCTGCCCTGCAGGAACACAGACGGCTCACTGCCTCCACCTGCCTGTCGCTTAACGTCATTGACGCTGACAGCGCTCTGCTGCCAGTCGTTGGATTGGAGATGAGGTGCAGGGAGACTTTTTGGAGTCTGAGTCAAGAGGATGCTGGAGTAGATGGAGATGCTGGAAGAGAGATCAGTGTTGGAGGTCGTTTTGGCTCTGGTGGAGCTTTTGTTGCACTCAACCTCCAATTTTCTGGTATTTTGAGGTGTCTCATGTGAAACCGGGAGCGGAGAGCAGCAGGGAGTGGAATATGTTTGGAGATTACGGAAGCTTTGATAGTTGATGTCCTTATCTGGGTCCTGTAGCTTGCTTTTGCTGAGCAAAATAACTTCAGAGTATCTGATTTCAGTCTTCTCTGCTGTTGCAGGCCACCTCATACTCTGAAAAACAGAACAATCAACTTGTTAATTTTTGTTTGAGGGTATTTTAAGTAACATACAGTTTTACACTCTCTCACTTTAAACCACAACATTGACACATCTTGTTATATTCCCGGCCACCTGTAAAGTCTTTTAGCGCTGTTTTCTGTCTCTACCAACTCCAGAGGGAAATATGTGGCTCATAGCAGCTAAATTCTTCACTATTGTCACCAGCAAACAGAGGCTGTTTGGTTCTGAGCAGGTAGTGTACCGTGGGGGTTTCATCTTTTTCACTGAACAGCTGCTTGCTGCCACTAAAAACAATGCAATGAGAGCAGCTTGTTTCAGCTTTTTATTGAAGCTATACATTGTTAGAGTTAAATATTTAAACCAAAGACTTCATGTTTTTCATGGCGGCAACCATCCACCACATGGAAATATACTCGGGGTCCTGAGCGTGATTTTTATTCACATTTTCCCCAAATTCAGTCTGACATATTTTGTACCTTTGCAAACAGAGATGTGTGCAAACACAGGTGTCAGATCTGACACCAAGACAGCATTGATATCTTTTATCTACTCCTCTACGCCTCTTTGTTACAGCTGTCTTGTGTCTGCTGATTTGTCAATTTAGCAGCAGTTTAGTGTTCACCAATATAATCCTTATGCTAACTGTCAGCTGTTGTGTTGCTAATAGACAGCTAATGGACATTTGGACTCAATATGTGTGTTTACCAGTTCCAGTTTCCTTGTTACTAGCTTTAAAGGATCAGTGAGTGGGATTTAGTGGCATCCAGATTGAAGTTTCAGATTGCAATTAACTAAACACTGCTGGCATCTGTATTTGAAATCTGCAGCCATTGTTTGGGTTGTCCTTCCAGGCTCCGGTTGAAACATGGCGGTTCAACATGGCATTTTGCTTTTTTTAGATACTGACAGTACAGAGTGAGAGAGAGAAGGGATGACATGCAGCAAAGGGAGCAGGCCAGATTAGAGCTCGGGCCGCTGCAGTACAGACACACTCCACCAGGTGAGCTGCTGGAGTGCCCATGAGCATTCTTTCTGAATTTGTTGTGTTTTATCCAATAAAGCTTTTACTTCTTTTTTTTATTATTTTTTTAGTAAAAACTCAGTTTGGTGGATTAGCAAAATGTTTTGGAAAGGTTTGTGATAACTAACCAACTGGCCTGTCTGTGCGGCCTTTGCTGCCATCTAGTGGTTTAACTTTGTTTTTGCGGTTGTCAAAAGTTTGACAGAATTCAAATGTTTTTACTTTAATATCTAGAAGTCAGGTACAAGCAAGGAACCAAGGATGCAAAAGACCAAACGCTAAGGACTTCAGATTCATCCAGAGTGGGCGGTTTATTGCTGCTGTTTAGGAGATGATTTGTCGTATCATTACGTCCTGTGGCACAAACAGACCAAATTTAAAACTTTTTAGTTGCAATACATTTTAATTGAGACTGGTAAAACAAGTGTTATCTAACAAAAATGGCCTAGTGGAGTTGTCCAGGTGGCCTACTGATTAAGATGCATAACATATAAATGCAACAGCCCATGTTTTTCAGGGACCTTTGTCGTATGTCATAGGCCTCTTTCTCTTTCTCTATCCACATTTACTGTCTCTATATTCACTGTTTCTATCTAAAACTAAAGCTAAATTCCATATAAACATCATATTTAAAATTGTGTTGCAAAGTGTAGTTTGTCTCTCAGTATATGGTTAGTGTTAAATGATGGATTCAGTAGACAGTTGACAGGAGAGGGCACAGGGATTACAGATTACCTCCAAAGCAATTTTTGGCTTCCAGAGGGCTAAACTGCTGTTGGAGGGATCCGGGACGTATTGACACAGCGTCTGTTTCACCCTGCAAGGGTATTTGTTGGGATAAACATTACACAAGGAAAAAAAGTATTTTGTGAAAAGTAGGCAAAACAGTAAAAGTAGAATGCTGAGCTTTGAGTAGGTGTGTTTCTGTGTTTGGTGTTGATGAGTGAGACAGAGGTCTTACATCTTATTCTGTGTCAGGCAGGCCATCAACACCAGCGCCAGTGAAGTCAGCACAAGAGGAAGCAGGACACACATCACTATCGAGATATCCTCAGAGGCTTCACACAAACACACACAAACACAAAGTTAAGTTAAAGATAAAGCAATATATTGTTTTTACTCTGAGGGCACAGTGATTATGTGTGTCCACTCCTCACTTATGTGCACATGATTGATCCAAGCTGTTCCGGCTCCAGCATCAGTGTTGGCCTGAAGTGAGATGTTGTAGTTACCAGGCGACAGATTCTTCAGAGAACAACTGTGAACGTCACCAGGCAGAAGCACTCCTGGATAAAAAAAAAAACAAAACATGGTCAGGTACAACATGGACAAAATGTGATGAGGTAATAAAGAATATGGTGAAAAAATAATTAATTAATAGGATTTTACTGGTCCTTATGCCCAAGTGTGGTCAAATGTTTTAAAACATTTTCTAAATTATTTGTAACTGATTTCTGTTTCTGTGGTTGTTTTCTGTGACAACTTTTTGTATCTTTTTTGTTTTGTAAGTATGTGTTAATATGCCCCTGCACTCACTCCCTCACCTTCCATCAGTCATAAAATGACCTTGAGAACCGTATACCTTATTGTCCATATATCAAATAGACTAGAGTCTACAGCCATGCTAGCATTTAGCTCTGTGAAGGTGTACTTAGGCACTTCTTTGAGCTAAATGCTAATGTCAGCATGCTAAAAATGTTTGCAGGTATAATGTTTACCATGTTCACTAACTTAGTTTAGCGTGTTTGCCAATTAGCACCAAGCACAAAGTATAGGTGAAGCTGATGGGAATGTCATTTGTATGGAAGGTATTTGATCACAAAACCAAAGACAAATTTAGATTCAGATCAGACTATGGCGGTCATTAGGATAGTTGTTGAGACATTTAACTAAAAACCACAAATGTAGACTTCATGGTGACACAAGAGAGAAAGTTAGTCGTTGTTTAGATATATGGATTGAAGTGGTGGACGGACCGACTGAATTCTAGCAACAAACACAACCCTCATCCTCCTAGAAGACATTTTCAACAGGGCTGTTACACCTGTTCACATGTGTGGACTCAAACAGGCGCAGGAGTGCCTTGTCTGTGTGTATCACTCACTTTTGGCTGTGTGGTTGCCTGTTGAGTAAGAGAGTATGTAGTTGCGGATGAAACCATGAAGCAGCTCCTCAGGTACAGGACTCCAGACGAGCTTCACTGTGCTGCCAATGATCTTTGGCGTCTCCACTGCAGGACAAGCTGAGGGCACTACACAGGCAGGGAGATAAGAGCAGGGGCGGGTGATGAGGATCGACCACAGGACTATGTTGTGAGAACGAGGGTGGATCTCTATCTCGGTTTCACAACAACCGATATGATTAAGTTTGCTTTAGCCACCTGAGCGGATCCTGTCAGGTCTGATAAATGTAGACTATTTGAAGTCAGTCACATTCAATATCTGGCAGATGTTCAGTCTTAGTATCCTTGTCTAAGATGACTGTGTAGACAGATGTTTGTCTGTAATGGAATCACCTCATGATCACCTCATAACCATAAGGTACAACATGGAGTCATCAGCTTTTATATATCGGACTAACAAGCTCCAGTAAATTGTTCCATTTGAAATCGACTTCCATTTATCGAGCAAGTGTATAGAGCCTCTAATGGTGCACTTTATACAGGCCGCTGCAGGGGAGACAAGAACATTTTCCTGTACAGCAAGAACAACAGATAAAACAGTCTCACTCACTGATACTAAAGGGGGATTTTACTTCCTTACAACCACTGATCTTCTACTTTTCCCGCGAGTCTTACAGCTTGGCAAGAGACAATACATGATATAGAGATCACATACCTCCTTGGCGTGTATAATTGTGGGCCGTCCTGTTTGGCCCCGCCCCTTGTTCACCATACAGGGCCTTGACCGAAACAACATAACGCTCCATTGGCTTTACTCCCTCTAAAACAACACAAAGATGAAAGTACTCATCAGTTCCCAAATACATACAACTGGTAATTGTACTACTGTTCCACAACTTCATAATTTCAGCTCTAAATTTTTCACATTAAGCTGTTGTATGTATTGTTGGATTACCTGTGATGACCAGCGAAGTACAGGAACTATTCAGCCTTTCCCAGTGTAGGATGCTGCTGTTCTCTCCGACAGCAAACCACTCCACTACAAAGCCGCTCGGTGACTGAGTCGCTGGAGCTGTCCAACGAACATCCAAGCTGTTATCATCCAGCGGACTTGCAGTGATTTGCTCCGGGGGCGGAAGCTCTGAAGGGAAATAAGGGATAAGATGAACAAAGAGAAAGACGTTTGTTGGCATCTGTTAAGTTTTTTTGGGGGGGGGTTCTGTTGTTTGAAACTGTCCAGTCCACCATAATGTCATAATGAACCGAAGGTGAAACTCTGCAGCACAAACTATTGTGCAACTATTATACTTTCAGGGACTGGTTGATCAGCAGCTCTATTGTGTGGTTTTTCTTCCAGTTTCATTTAGTTGAAAAATAATATAGCTGTCCTTGCCAACCCTCGTCATTGTTTACTGTAGTGTGTCTTCCGTGTACCAAAGGAAACAGGAAAAAGCCTCTGCAGCAGAGGAATATACTCTTGTAGACAAAAGAAGTGACAGGTAGGTGGGTGAAGAACAAAAGAGAACTTGATAGAACCTGCCTCCTCGCACCTGTGCAATTGCGGTATAAGGCTGGCACGATTGTTGGATTGTTTTATGTTTTGTAAAGTTACAAAAGCTACCACTGGATTCAGCCTTTCTTTATTCCGACATCAGAAAGGCAAAAGGGGAATGGTTTCAGGGGCTGTAAGATCAGATCATCAAGCACTTTATTTAAAGCACGCAGATGCCCAACAGCGCTCTCTACTTTTATATAAACACCAAATAAAGGAATATCTTTTACGATATTCCCTGCAGCAGATTTCCAGAGAGTTGGAGAATCCATGACACAGAGACTGAAACTGTACTAGTGACTTGTGGTGGAACAACAACTCACCAAGACAGTTAATCACAACCTGTTAAACTGATTAAAATAACTATGTTAAAGTACAGCATTTCAGTCTCAAGTGATGACGATGCAGATTCAAGTCAGACCCTACCTGTCTCAGAAGCTCCAGGGAGCCATATTCGGGCTTCTGGCGAGGTCCCTGCAGAGGTGGAGGCCGTCAGGGCACAGGAGCATCGTCCAGCAGGGAGGCGCAAGCTGCAGGAAGTACTTGTATGGGGCAAATCTCTGCAGCTCCCATGATCGTTCAGGATTTGAGTGCTTTCTGTCTGACAAGTCACATTGAAGAAGAGAACTCTGCCATTGGCTAGGAAGCGAGGCAAGGGCTGAACGGTGTCAACATGAGAGAAAACACAAAGCAATAAGTAACAGTGAGCTGCTGTGAGATGATTGAGGTTTAAATCAGAGTTCGTATAAACAAAGATTGTATGAAATTTAATTCTTTCTCTTTCTCCAGCTATCTCAGTTTCGCTCTCAACCTGAAATCACGCTTTATGGCAAGTCATTTCACGGTGATACAAAAACACATTAGGGACAGTCAGTGAGAAGATGGTGATTAAAAAACTAATCAGATCCAAAAGTTATTAAACTGTAAAACTCCAAAGCTCAAAGCGATAAAAGCAGTCAGAATATATTATACGAGCACTAATGACTCAAATTCACATACAATTCAGCACACACACACCTTCCACAGCAGTGAGACGAGTCTCCAATCATTCTTGTCTGTTTGTTTCACTCGCCTCCAGAAAGCTGGCGCTGCAGATGGAGCTGGTTGATGTGAGGAAGGGAACACATTAAAAATAATGAACAGAAATGGCAGCAGAACATGTTATATACAGTGACAGGGGTGGGATGCATACTTTTTAGCTATCAGTGAACCTAAGAAAAACATTCAAATATCCATTCTACACCAGACAGAAATGAAAGTGAAAGTATAATGTGGAAATATTTTGTGTGTTGTCTTTCTCCTTTTTCACTTATTGCTGACTCGTGGCAACACAGCCTGGAAGCAAGCAATACTGGCCATTACCAATAGCCAATACCAGACATTTTATGACATTGGCTCAAAAAGAGAGTGGGTGGTACTCTTCAATGTCTCATGGAGGTCAGTGTCAACCACTTCGGTCCAGAGTGAAACATCTAAAGAACTATTAGATTTTGTGGACATCTGATCAGGACATCTACTGGAGGTTTTCCAGGCGTGTCCAACTGGGAGGAGACCCTAACCCTGGGACAATCCAGAACATTATACTGTTTATCCCATCTGACCTGGGACCGCCTCGGGCCTTCAGGAGGAGCATGAAGTTTGGCAGAAGGATTTCTTGCCTACCTTTCTTTAACTTGCTACTACTGGACTCAGATAAGTGGTTGTGAGAACAGGCCCGGATCTCTATCTCTTTTTCACAACAACCGATATGATTAAGTTGTGTTTGCTTCAACCAGCTGAGCGGATCCTGTCTGCTCTGATAAACGTAGACGGAGAAAGTCTTGGCTTACAATTAAACAAAACTGATGTCGTTTTTTAAACTGTCCTGGTCGGGATCACTGCCTTTTTCAGGCTGCTATACAACTGTAAACAAATAGATATCTTGCCCACTTTTCTTAACTCGCTACTACTGGACAGAAAATGTGGCAGAAAATGGATGGAAGGGGAAAGATTACTTATAATTGCATTCATAATGGCATAGTTCTGCAGAGATGTTTATGTATCTTTTGGTAGAAGCACAATTCTAACCTATAGGCTTACACTACATCATCTTGAGAAGACTGAATGTTCAACAAACACCAGTTTGACAACTCTGTTTCCTCTTACCATCCTCTCCTGTCCTTCCTTGGCGGGCATTGCTCCACAGGCTCCAAGGACTCTGTGGGCCCTTGTAGCTGTGACGAAGCCTGATGGTGTATAAGGTGTCAGGCCTGAAGAGACACACCAGGAAGCTGGTGTCATTCACTGTCACATTTTTGACCTGGACATTCAACTGTATAGGAAAGAGAGACAGGACAGAGTGAGGTGAGGATTAAATTGTGAAGAAACCACACGTTTGTCTTTATTCTTTAAAGATGCCAGATGTAGCATTTAAAAAAATAATTTCAGAGTATTAATAACTGAGGATGGCTGTAAAACGCATCATTGTTTAATATATAAGAAACTTAGATGGCAGTCATTGGCAGTGACAAGAGAACAGCACTATATACCTTTTAACTATGGATCAATTTCACACTGCACTAGGTCTGAAGCTTATTTGGTCCTCAAAAATCATCATGTTAATACTGAGATTGGGAAACTGGCTCCAAAATACGATGCACCACACAGGTGAAACAACCTGCAGAAGCTTGAAAAGTTAGACAAGCTAATCCCATTTACTTCTTTGATCAAGGTCTTTTTTAAAATTTGTGTACAGCCAGACATCAATACAAAAATATATCTATATAAATGTGTTAAACTAAATCCCTTTTATTCAACGATATAAACCATGTTTTCGTTTATTCAATGTTAATGAATCATGTGTTTTCTTCTGTCTCCATCTGTAACTGTAACTTGTGTAATTAGGGCACCTTTGTAACAGAGAACTTTCTCTCAATGACCCTCATTGTTTATTATAATATTAAACCCGGGAACGAAAGCTTTTGTGAGACATCTGTTTGATCTCTGAATGCAATGTTACACCTGTGCCACATGTGCATCTTTATGTGGGTTTGTGTTTGGGTATATTTGGGAGTGGCAGACCTGCCCCTCGGCGGTGAACTCAATTTGGGATTTCAGGTCTCCAGCGTAGATTTCCATGAAAGATACAGGAAAGACAGTCACGATGCGCTCCCAGGTTACATACAGACAATGAGGTCTCCCTCTGACTGGCTTGACGCTATTCAAAGGCACTGGATACAACATCACTGAGAAAAACAGAGGGGAGAGACGTTAGAGAGAAGTTAAGAGAGGAACAACAGAAGGTGCAAGTAGGAGAAGCAACAACAACACCCTCACCTTCAATCCTACCAGACTGACACGGACGATGCGATGTTATGTCCCGTCTGTGACTGTGTGCTATGACGCTGATGCAGAAGTGAACCCTCACGGAGGAGTTGGTGATCGCTGTGCAGCTGGTGTCAGTTGTGGTGCAAGTGAACCGGCTGTTGTTTTTTAGAGTCCTATTCTTGCCCCTGGCACAACAATCAATTTTTATTATTATACAATCAACAATATAATTATTATATTATTATAAATATTATTAATATTATCATTATATACTGTTATTATTATATACTGTTATTAACAATAACACTACCATCATGTCATCAGTACTATTACCACCATCTTGCAACTAAAAACTTTGCACCTTACCTACCTTTTTATCTTTTATCTTTTTTTATATTTTCTATCCAAGTATTTTATTCTAAGTATTTTATTCTATTGTATTTTATTCTATTGTTGTATTTTATTCTATAACGACACAATTTCCCTTCGGGGATTAATAAAGTTTATCTATCTATCTAATCAACAAGCATACATAACAAATAAACAAACAGGCACAAAATTACACGCCCTGTGTAGATTAATGCTCTGTCACGCAAATGGATACACACACACAGGCATATCACTAAACTGCTCAAACATGCTGTGCAGAAATGTCTATCTCATCTCCATTTGAAATGAAAAAAGGCAGACTATGTTACCCAATCAACAGATCGTGAGGTGGAAGCTGCATGACTCTTATCGTCGCAGTGTATCAAACCTGCCATCTGAGCCTCACACGAATGCAAGATTCAAAACTCAAGCATTTGCATACAGCATACAGAATTATTATCAAACAATAATACTCGCACAAAGTTGCAAACAGATCCACATGCAAAAACACAACAGGGACTTGGTTAATCCAATTTGACTGGATAATTTGTTATCATAAATCATGTAGTCGTAAACACTGACAATGCAGATAGCAAAAATAAATGTTGGGTTAAAAAGCAGCATGTTGGAATGAAAAGATGTCAACCTTACTGCATAATCTTCATATCACATATCAGATATCAAAGCTACATCTAACACGACATTAGACAGCTCTGTTATAGAGCTCCATTTTTGTTGTAAGTTTATTCAAAACAAATCAATGAGCCATACAGTCGCGTGAACAAACATGGGCGCCAAGTATTTAATGTCAATCCCACACAGCCCGTCCTGCTTCCATTATAACTCACTAGAACACCAAATGTGTATTAATCCACATTGAACATTTTTAATTAATAATTTTTGTATCATTTATTTTTAAAATGTTTAATTACAGATCAACACTAGTCTTATTGTTTAAAATGAAAACTGGAATAAACAATTAGGGAAACAACAGATGCAAATGTTTCCATGCAGGAAAACAAGGGCTCAGTGAATGTGCGATAAGTATGAAAATGAGGTACGTCATGAACTCTGCTGAACTCCTACTGGAGATTTTAGGTTTTTGTCGGGGTCTCCAACACCATCAATAAAACACCTTTGTATCTTTTGGATATAAGATGCACTTATGGAGGAATGGTGCACTAAAAAGACACTTTATGTTTTTTCCCTTTAATTTGTCACCCATCTGCAAATCTTTCAACATACTGAACATCCTTCAAGTTGGAGAATAAACCCTTGAATTACTAAATCATACACTACCCAAATAAAAATATACCTTTTCACACCTGAACACCCTGATGATAAAAAAATATATATATATATTTTGCTCCACAAAACCTGGATGAACTGAAGCTGAAGTATGTTTTCACCTACTTGTCCTGACTTCTAACATTTTAAAGGAATGTTTTGTCTCACCTCACAACTTCCAGAGTGTAGTGTGTCGTTGGGGTGTCACCAGCCTCCCAGCGGCAGGTGACATTAGCATAATGATGGAACACACAATCAATTAGCCGCGGGGGTCGGGGGCCAGTCATGGAGGTTGTAGTGGAAAAGGCTGGAGGACGGAATGAAAATGGAGAGATGCTGGAGTTAAAGTTAATGTTAATGTTATAAGGAGTTCGGTCTACACCTGCTCTATTTGAAAAGTGAGATAACTTCTGTTATGAATTGGTGTTACACAAATAAAATTGAACTGAATTGAAAATTAAAGGCATGGAGTTTTTGGTTTGCTTTTATTGGTTCCTTCATGCTAAAGAAAAAAAGCAGCAAGTTAAAGATGGATTTTGGATTGGATATTTTTAGAAAAAACATCATAGATGCAATATTTGTGTAGAGCAACAGGTGGGATTAAAGAAAAGGAAAAAAAAAGAGGAAGGTGGAACAGATTAGCAGTGAGGCAATAAGTAAATCTGATCTAGGAGCCGCAGGTCAGTACTAAATCTTTCTTGACACACTCTTAAACATAGACCCAAGAAGAAAGCAATCTAATCATGTAGGAGAATTAATCTTGTGAAATATTTATGAACGGCTGCAGCTGCTGTTTGCCCTAAGGTTTAAACATAACCTTAGACAAGACTGTACAAGATGCCCACCTCGGTCTTAACACGCTTGCTCAGCTTGCCGCTGGGTATATGTGGAGATAACAGACATGATCACACCAGATCTTACCAGTAGCTTGAGTTCTAACACTTACATATTATGATAAAATGGCACCCTTTTCAGTTGGAGGGAGTTTTATTTTCAGGAACTTTTGTCTTTTACTATGTGAAATATAATATTTTCAGTTAATTTAACTTTAACTGCGTCACAGTGCTGCTGGTTAAATGTTTCATTTGTTGCTGGTAGTCTGTCTTTGCTATTATTTGCCTTTCTGTCTTCTTCATATTAATGAGCCCGAGCAGACATGGATTTAAACTGTAACCTGACTGGTCAGTGGAGGCATGCAACCGCAGGGAGATAATTCTAGTTTTATTTAGATTTTTGCTCTTAAAACCACACTAAGCTGAACATCACACAATGTTTGGCAAATGTGAAGTTAGCAGGTTCTGTCCGTCAAAACCAATATGGGGCGGCTGTAACGATCCCTGAGTCACATGCTGCATGTCAAAGTTTTCTTGACACAGATACAGAACCCAGTGTGCGCTGTATAAAAAAAAAAAAAGAGGATGTTACCCAGTGTGAGTCCGGCCCCCAGCAGGCAGGTCCACACCACAGCCGAGCTCCACTCCATGAACACCAACTGGTTTCTCAGCTCTGGGATCCGGCCTTAGTTAAACAAAAAAACGGCACCATACTATGACAGCGTGCAAGATGAATGGCTCAATTTAGTGGTTAGATTTCATCAGCCCAATAAGAACCCTACAGCAGTGACACGCCGCTTGGCATTGCAACATAGTAAATGGTCTGACAAACATGAAATGCAGCAGTTCAACTTCATAGAAATCTCACCTAGGTGTAAGAGATCCGAATGTGAAACTCAGGGACGGATTTAGATTGTGGTGACCCTGACAATTGTACCTCTAAACAATATTTCCTCTCAATGGAGTGCTTTTGCTTCTGAGAGCCTACTTTGTATTGAAAGTTTTTTGTAGTATGTGTTAGACAGCAGAAAGAACCCTGTATCATATTATTGGACTATTATTACTGATCAATCAATATGTTTGCAGTGTTTGGTGGCGGAGGTGATGTTTAACTCTCTATATCATATATCATATAAGCACTGCGTATGCTTTGTAATTAAAATGCTGATTTTCAATCAATGTGGTAAAGTAAAATGTACAAAATTGCAAGTGCAAGCATAAAGCAGCATAAAAAGGAAATACTCAAGTACCTCAGAACTGTACTTGGGACTGTACATCTGCATCGCCAGGTCATTTTGTTGGGGGTTAAGACTCCGAACGCTTTGACCGTAACCACAAATATAATTTTTAAACGTAAGCCTATATGTGAAGCTCGACAAAAAATGTAATGTGTGTAAGCTGCGTGGCAGCCTGATGGACAGCGCTGAGTGACTGAGTGATGAGATGGCAGAGCACACAGAACACAGACTCCAGTGACAAAGAAAAAATGGAACCTGAATAAGGGAAGGGCAGGGCAGGGCAGGGATTCACTACACTACGTGTGTGTGTGTGTGTGTGTGTGTGTGTGTGTGAAAGAAAGAAAATGCTCTATGCTCTTTTACGTTTATCTTTATCCTTTATCATGTTTGTCTACAGTCTGAGTTGTTTGTTGGTCTTATATTTCTGTCAAGAGGAATGTCTTGGTCTTTTACTGCAAACCAAATCTGCCCTTGGGTACAAATTAAGTAACCTTGAGCTTGAAGCTAATAAATAAATGATACATGTAATAACAAGTAGTATAATAATAACAGTTGTTAAGTATACTACTTGAATTATTATCAACAAAGACAATTAAACAATTTATAATTAATCTGGAAAGTAAAAACAAATTGGTTTTGAAGTGTAATTTCAAATTTTCAATGACTTGGATATGTATTTGAATATTAATAAGGTGCAAGAGTGCATTACAAAAAGCATTTAAAATAGAAATTGTTTATTAAAAATAATTCCTGGGTGAGGATCCCCTGAATCTTTTCAAATCCAACAGCCTTGAAAGGCTACTTAGATACAGTACTGTACTCAAGTTACACTGATTTCTTGATGCCTTATTCATGCGCACATAATGCAAGACCTGTCAGCAACATGAAGATTTTTAAATTGTCTGAAGGGCAGAGTTGCCATTTGCTTAGTGTCAGTCATGCCAGGAGGAGTCAAATCGTGTTCCTTCGACCCTACAGATTTAATTGCCTATCATAAGAGCTGTCATCCCCATCATTACAATGGATTTAATTTAACAGGCACCAGTGGGTAAAAAAAAAGTTTTGCACTGTATATTATGTCTGCCTCTGCCAGTGAGTCATCACAATAGAGAGTGAGCATGCATTAATTGATAGTAGAGACTTGATGTTCTCTACAACTGAGTGGAAACAAATATGTGCATACAGTGGTATCAGCATCAACATACCAAAATGAGTTGGAAAATATCGACATATCAACTATCGACAAAGATCCAATATTGTGCATTCGACTGTAAAGCTGTACCTAATAAACTGCTCCTACAGAGCTGCTGTGGTCAGTACCAGTAATGTAGTCTACTTTTAACAAAATCTACTCCTGCAAATATTGATTGATAATATACCTTATGAAAAATGTATATTATCAATCAATATTTGCAGGAGTAGATTTTGAAGTTAGTTTCTGATTTGGCAGTCAAATCTTTTCATATTTCTCAGATTTTTTCCATATCTGGACAGCATTCAACCAGATCCAGACTGAAAACCACTACACTAGATGATCCCAGACAGGCAAAATATTCTTTAAAACATAGTTTCAGATTTGTGAAACCTTTATTTTATTGCGTTGGTCCACCTCTCTCCATTTCATTTGTGATTGCCATGCATCTCGTCTTTCTCACTTAGGAACAAACAAAAGTTAAGTCATTTTTATCTTTTGAAAAATAACTCACATATCTTCATAGATTAAACATCTGGAATAATATTAATAATATTATGGAGCCCTTTAACTACTACTAAAATATCCATGCTCCTGTCCAACCTTCATTTGGACAACCCGCTTTGAAATCCAGTCTAGATTTGACAAGTCTTGTTTTTGTATTGTGGATTTCAATCTGGACCTGGTCCAATGTGGCATATGAAAACAACAACAAAAGTCCAATTTACCTTTTTTTTTTTTTTGTAGCAATTTCCACCAAATCAGCGTTAAAGCTTTACCTTAAACGTCTTTAAGGACGGTAAAAGATGCAGCACATGTCGCTCAGCACTGTAAGTTAAAGTTGCCGGAACGACCTCAATGAATCAATGCATCATGTAGTCTTTTAAAATGTGTCAGAAAACGGTGAAAATGCCCTTTTTACAAACTCCCTGCTTCCAATGTAATGTCCTTTTATTCCAGTAAGTCACAAAACACAAACACAGGCTATTCAATTCCTAAACATACGGTAGAACTTAATATGTGCGTGAAACACTGACTCAGCAGAGTTTTCGGTCGGTCAACTAATCGATACACTTCGAGTCTTGTCGCCAATACTAAATTATAAGAGTCTACATTGGGACTAAAAAAAAAAAAGCTACGCATCTTTAAAGCAGGAACTAGTGCTAAAAAGTCACCGTCAAACTTTTCAAACCTCCTCGAGAGAGAGAGTTGGATTTCTGAGGCACGAGCGCTAATTGAGAAAGGTTGGCGGTTAAAATCCCCCCGTCCACTTACCGGTCTGAGCGCGGACGACACGCGCTTCTCCCCTCCTGCAACTACAGCGATTATGCAACAGCCTTCACCAGCCTCTCAGACACACGTAGTAAACACATCTGTTCCGCCCAGCTGTTCTGCCCCCTCTCTCTCTCTCCCGGCTTTCAAATCTGACGTTCGGGTTCCCCCGGAGGATCATGGGGGGGTTTTTCCGTAGAGGTCCGAATAAAAGTTTTACAGTATTTCCAGCATACCGGGGAGCTTACTAAGGCCTTTTTTTCAATTAATCAAATTAAAACTAAAGAGCTGGTGGTTGTGAGTCATTATTTTCCATGATCTAGGGTGGATCTAATACCTGGAAAATAACCTTTACGTGATGGCAGAAATATTTAATTAATTAATTTAATCTAATTTAATCACAAACAAGCACATATAAGCCCCCAAATGAACATATTTAAACTCAAAAACATTATATTATTGTGGCACGTTAGTAAAGTAACAGAAATATCTAAAAGTGACTTTAGAAATCAATAAATTGTTTGACTTTCTTTTTTCATTTAACTCATTTTTTTGTTTTATGTGGCCATAACAAATGATTAAATTATATGGGTTAATTTACACCTTTTTTAAACATGGTCTTTAAAAAAATCTAAATTAATGGGTTAATTTATGCCACCACTCTAGATCCGTCCCTAAATTCAAATACTCTGGAAACTTATTTGGCTGTTGCAGCATGTGCAGAGTAAATTATCTGATAAGCAATACTGCATTTGTATCTACGCAGGAAACTAGATTCATATATGATATAAGGAAGAGTATTTTAGAGACTGATTAGAGACAAAGTGTTTTAACTTTAAATATGTGTACATGGTATGGGAACCTGGGGTCCAAGAAGAAAACAAGATTTACAAACAGAGCCAGTAAACAAAAGCGAAAGAGCAGAAACAACTGGGAGGTATTATTGTTCTGATGGGGATTCACAATGATGATCAAGGCTGGTTTGTGGACAATAAAGATGAATATTATTTACACAGACAAAATCTGTGAAAGACCATAAACAGATACGGTTCAGCCTTTTGAAATGAAGTGCCTTTAATTCATAATACAACACATCACTGCAGAGTTGACTCACTGGCTGTCTGCCTCATGTTAACAATAACTAGGAAGGCAATTAAGAAGTGAAGGATGTGTGTTGCAGGATGTGTGCTGCAGGATGTCTCAAAGCAATTTCAGTTTCAGTTAACAATATCGCCCTGATCGTTGGTTTTGTTTTTGTTGCGCAGGTTGTCTGGTCCTAAAAGCACACATGAGCACAAAACAGCAGCTATTGAAAATGCATTACACAAACACGCAGGTGTGTAAAGCATTCAACAGATTTTGAATTATGCCACCGTCAACATCAGCGTATCCTGACAGGCTGTTGTTTGGAAAAGTACACAGATTAGTGGATTGGAGCAGAAGCAGTAGGAATAGAAGATCATACACAGGTTGGATGTTACTGTATGTTCATACAACAGAGCAAAAAAAAAAGACCTTTGTCCTGACTTTCCCTGAAAACAACTGTATCACAATGAGGAAAAGGAGAACAATCAACACATCTCCAGGGACCAGACTTCTACTAGTTTGAGTTGCATTTGCGAGGCAGAGGCAGACAGAGCTGTTGTATCCGAGACGAGGGGCTAGCAGAGCGGGCCGCCCTGCTAACTATGTACGGGTCGTATCCCTCAAACAGAGCTTTCCTCTCTTTGGGACTGGACAGCTCAAGAAGTCTCTGGTTGGCTACGTAGTTTCTCGCTGATCTGGAGACGAGCCAGCACACTGAGCGCTCTCCTTCAAACTTGGGGTGGTCGTGCTTAGGGGCTGCGAAGACAAAAGTAATCATGTCAAATAGCGAGTAAAACGATTTAAAAGAAAATGCCACAACAGAGCAAAAATGTGACCAGAAACGTTTCTTGACGGAAACACTTACTAGCAAGTAGCTCTATGTGTGCAGATGCTTTGCAGGGCATGTGGGTCAACGGTACGGGTTTAGATTTGTTGCCAGCGCCCTCCAGAATCTGCTTTCTCTTTGGTTGGGCGAGCTGGCAAATTCGTGAAGTGGCGACTGCCGTCTGCGTCGCTCTGTTCAACTACAATCACATTTCAGGTGATTGATGAGATTATATTAAACTCACTTACAGAAAAACACAATATTAGACATGAACTCATAGGGATCATTCAAATGAATTAAACTTCGAATTATCGCACTCAGTCTTGACTCTCCCATTTTGACTCAAGGGCTGGCAGTGTAGCTCTGTTGGTTTGGTTTGGTCTTGACTGAACCTCGTCAACAATTGTTGGATGAATTGGATTTGAATTTTGCGCACGCACTCATGGTCCCCAGATGACGAGGCTTACTGATTTTGGTGGTCCCCTTGGTTTTCTGAGAGCGCCACCATGAGGTTGACATTTGTAGCTGTAAGTTAAAGGTCCAGTGTGTAACATTTAAGAGGATCTAATGGCAGAAATGGAAAACAATATTCATAGGTATGTTTTCATTAGTGTATAATCACCTGAAAATAAGAATAGTTGTGTTTTTGTTACCTTAGGATGAGACATTTTGATCTACAGACGGAGGAGGATGGATAGGTGGAGGCTGCCATGTTGAACAGCCATATTTCTACAGCAGCCCATAATTGACATACCAAGCACTGGCTGTAGGTATGGCCTTTTGCATTTTTAGCAAACTTTGCAGCTACCGTAGTACACATCACAGCCTGTTCTCATCCTCAGGTCGTCAAATACAAAAACCAGCGGCAAGATGCCACTAAATCCTCCACACTGGTCCTTTAATGAAGCTTTTATTGTATGATATTTATCAAAAGACTCATGTACAACCTTTAAGTCCTTCAAGTTAAGCTCTCAGACTTTAAATACTTGACACCCTCGCTTTTCTAACACAGTTGACTGTGGAGTTTAAAATACATACATACTCATGACATACTCCAGCTCCAGAAAGCTTCCAGCCATCACATGATTTACCACGTACACAGAAGCTCCACAGGAAACAGAGTATGTGTTACTCACAGGCACCAATATTGGGCGGTCCGGCTGCCAGCCAGCTGCAGGGGCCCGAGGTTGAGCAAGACTGCACAGCCGATTAGACGCAACTGCCCTAAGAGCACATTCACTCACCTCCCATATGGGAGAAAGTCTGGTGAGGGAAAAATAGATAAAGAGAAAAGAGAAAGGATGAGAGAAGACACAGAAAGACAAAAAGATGTGAGGGGGAGGTGAAAAGGTAACTAAAATAACAGGAAGATGAATAAGGAAGAAGGAAGGAAGCGGGCAGGATGGCACCAGATAAAGGCACAAGAGGAGAATAGAAATATAAAGCCACAAAAAGATGAGACGAGAAACATCTCATCTGAGGACTTGAAGCCTAACAAACACACTGAACATAAATCCTGGAAAAAAAACCCTGCGGCCATAATTACTTGTTACTTACTAATATGCAGGGACAGATCTAAAGCGGTGGGTTGGCAGCTGCCAACTGTAAAGTAATGCCTGATCACCCCAGCTGCCAACACAAATTCAATGTCAAATTTTAACACATTAATTAAACAGGTGACAGGCTTAAGTTTAATTAAAAAAGACATGTATTTCAAGAAATGTCTGAAAATTCTGAACAACAACAATGAATTGATTTCTGATGCTACTGTTAGATATGTCTATTCAATGCTTTACTAATGTGCCACAATGACATGTTTTTAAGTTAAAAGCCAATACTGTTATATGTGATTGTCTGTGTTTAAATCAGCATACGTATTTCTCCAGATCCACCTCTGCTGACCTGATATTAATAAATAGATCTTGTTTTTGCCACTAGTGTTGAGGTTAGTGCTGTAGAAATGGACATAATACTGAATTCATCAAAACAGAAGGTACAAACATGGAGGAAGTCCTGAGATTTCATTAACAAGTGACAGTGGGAACAAATAAAAGCACATAGGCAAAAAGAAATCACACATGCATTAGAAGGTATAGTTAATCATCGGCATTGCATTAGTAATAGTAGAACTTGTTATAATTACGTGACTTGAGTGTAGAACTTTTTACTTCTACATAGCTCCGACCAGCGAGGGGTTAACTCTACACAGGAAAATTATTAGTTATCATGTCATCACAAAAAAGCAGTACAGAGCAGGTTTGGTGGAGAGAAAAAAAAGTGTTGCGTGAGTGAGAGACACACCAGCTTTGGTGGTGGATCCACTCTTCTCCGGGGGCAGATCATCCAGCCAGTAAACAGAGCGACTGGGAAATTAAAAAAAGAGGCCTCATTAGAGAAAGAGAGAGACATGGAGGAAGAAATAGAGAGGGGGGGGGTTCAGCAGGCCTACCGGTCTGGATATCTGAGTCTGTTGGGTTTGGGTTGAGCAAGCCTCTGTGTCCGAGTTGCCATGGAAACAGTTGAAGCTGGTGGGGGAACAGGAACATGCTGAAATGATCCTATTACTCAACCAATATTACCGTGTGTCATAAACATGAGTAGGCACAGAATGTGTTGTTCAACACATGCAGGGACACATTTACGTAACAAAAATGTAGTGCAGCTTTTAAACAATTAAAAAAATAATCATGGATTGGTTTATAGTGTAAATGTTCATTGGTTGCAGCTTTGATCCCATGTTTTACACTCTATTACTTATAAAAAACACTTACTCTGTAATTATTTCTAAATATAGGTTACCCACCCTGCTATCAACATCAGAAACCATCCAGTGAATTTAATCTTTAGCTGATTACATTAATAAGCTGATAAATAATTGTTTATCTGTAGCTTAAAACTACTAGAGGTTTACCTGTACTGTCCTCTCACGGTGACACCGACACCTGCTGGTTGCCAGGGGATCAGGTGACACTGGTGTTGTACAGTACAGCAAAGATCGTCTATGTGTAGGGTGTGCAAAGATGTCTAACTCTGCTTTTCTGTGCAGTCAGGTTATTTCCCAATTAGTCACATAATAAGTGTACAGGGAGGGGTGAGACATATGCACATTTTCTTACTATGCTGACAGGCGTCAGTTAGTGGTTTGTATTGTGGCTCAGGGAAACTGTATAAACTGGAAAAAGGAGAAGTGCCAACTCTCTCCTCTCAGTTCACAATGGCCCGCATCCAGAGATTGTAGTTCAAGGAACAGTGGTGGGAGAATTATTCAAATCCTTTACTAGTAAAACTATGCTCTACTCATGCTCTATTACACAACCCGTGTTTAAATCTCCAGGGAAAGGAATGTCAATCAGCACAATACAGAAACAGAGGTTTAATCTACCACAGACACTATCTTTCTTTGTGGCTATAAATATAAACATTTTAATTGTAATTTGCAAATAACTATAACTTTACTAGGGCACACAAGATTTGCCTAATTTATCCCAAATTTCAGAAAAAACTACAAACATTTAGGAGCAGCACTTTTTTAACCTTTGATTTCATTCCATACCTTTATTAAGCTTTTCTTAAGAAAAAAAACACTCAAATAAAGAACCAAAAGTCCTAAATTTGGCCACAGCTATCTGGTCATATGACATGCCATATGAAGCCCCCTCCTCATACAAGGAAATTCCAGTTTCACAATCTTACATTTTAAATTCACAAGTAAACAAACGCAAAGACAATTTAAAAACAGATGACACCTTTATTTTCAACAAACATTTAAAATCTTATAAAACAGCAAATAACAGTAAATAACCTACCAAAGCCACAAGCTTTCAACATAATACTGTAGTTATTATTCTTTAAACAAGCATTGCAGAAGTCTGTTACTGTGTGAAGTTAACAAGTCTGTTTGACATTATGCTGTCACTTTGTTGTTGTGGTTCACACATAATATGAACTGAGGAAGACACTGCAGGGCACACAGCTACAGCATCAAATAACATTCACAGGCCTCTGAAACACACAGAGAAACCCAGAGCCGACCCGGGTTAAATATGTAGTGTTTGGTTGATATTGTAACACTTAAAGGATAATAACAGTATTGTTTGCAATTACAGCACTTTTTTTTTTTAAACTGCATTTTATACCGCCTATATCTAGTTTTAATCCCCACGCCTCATATCCATCCTTTTGTTAGATTTTTGTTTGTCACTTTAAAACATAAAACTCACAACAAAATAACTGTGTTGGTTGGAAAGCCAACCTAGATTATTGGCACAAAAGAAAACACCACTATTATCCTTTAAGTGACCTGACAGTAAAGTCTATCTCTGCAATACAGTAAAAGAGACAAATCTCCATGCAATAGTTTGTAGATTCTACTGTCTCAAGACTTTTTTATACCTAAAAGTACTCCACCAATCTTAATATCAATGATGACTGGTTCTTAGGAGTCCATGGTATTAAAATACAGGGATTTCAGTGATAAAACCAGTTCACAGGCATATATTCATGAGCCTTTGAGCTCTCTTATTAAGCTGCCAGTGTAGTTACTGGGGTTATGGTAAATGGAAAAGATGGCACCGGACAGTCCGATCTCTTGTGCAATACAATGGAAGTAGAAAGGCATGTAAGAAAGTAAAGGGGCAGAAATAGGTAAATATAGAGTATATATTGTATTCAGTAGCACCAAGAGAAAGCGTATGTGAGTGTGTTAGTGTCAGAGGGTCTGCACTATGACAGGATACAGTAGGGACATATGCTCAGCTCCTCTGATCGGCAGCTTGTGTGTAGTGTAGTAGTGGATGACCTCAGGGATGGTGGAGAAGGGAGGGCTGTTCTCTCCGAGTACGTATCGCCCATCTGCAGACTGAGTGAACTTCATGTGCATGAAGCCCTTACAACTCCTGACAGAGAGGGAAAGGAGGAGGAAAGATTCATTAAATTGCTTGTCTGAGTCAAAACTACACTGTTGAGAAGGCTGTTTCAGTGCACACATTCACAACAAGACAGACTCCAGAGGAATACTCAGCGTGCAAGCACATCTGGAAGGATGTTACGTTTCTGAAAACCATTACAGTAACCCACACTATCCTGGGAATAGGTATGAGCAAATAACACAAAGTTGGTGCAGCCTAGGTTTACACCACACATTTGTCTGAACATCATGGTAAGCTCCAATCCTCAATCCATTTCCACTAGGTTCTCTCTCTCTTTGTTTATGATGTACCTCCTCTACCAGCAGCAGACTGTCCTCCCTGCTCCAGTGACTGTTTTCATTTCAGCCAATTTTGTATAATTACATCAATATTTATATGGTTGATGGCGACCTGTTAATGGCTCTTTGGAGGATTAATTTTATTATAATTTTGCGGCTTTTTTATGCCTTTATTTCATAGAGAATCCCAGCAAAGGGCCACAGGCCAGAATCAAACCTGGGCCACTGCGGTAAGAACTGATCCTTGGGGTGTGTCCTCCACCAGGACCCACCAGGACTTAATAATCATTCTTAAGAATCTTTTAGAAAATTAATAATCAGAAATTTGATAAATGTGGACCCTGGACTGGAAGTGACACAGATCTCTTCTTTATTGTGACATTTAACATCAAAGAGATGCACACAGGGGCTTATGACTTATGTTCCAGCACCCACTGAGTACAGATGTCAGGTTAGGGGCAATTCTCTGCATGCAGAGTCGCAAAACAGCTGCTTTCATGCTGATTACTCATACAGGCTTGAATCCCACTTGCAAAGGGGAAAGTGAGGGCTGGGGGAAGGGAAGAGAAACACAAATAAAGTGACTGGGTGGGAGGAGAGATAATGGAAAAATGGTGAAAAATTAAAAATTGCCTCAGGGCTCAAATTTGAGAAGAGTCTCTCGCCACCCACAGACCATAACAATACCCAAATGGAGAATGAACTGAATCAGATAATTGTGGCTCACAGGGGTACAACTCCCCTTTAAGAGAGTGCAACAATTCTTCAAATTAAGACAGTATGAGGAGGATTTGTGAGGATTTTGGGGGGGGATTTAGTACAGCTCAGAATGAAGCGAGTGGTAAAAAAAACAACTGCTACAACTGGCACAGAGATGGGACAAGCCAAGTACGTGCAGTAAATAGCTCTTAATAGATAAATGTAAATGAGTGTTTACCTGAGTGAGAGCGAGTAGTCGTTCCTGCAGGTCTGGCTGTTCCTCACCAGGTACGAGCTCTCCTTGCACAGAGTCAGTAGAGTCTCTGCCTCCGAGCGGCTCAGCGTTCCATGGTACCACCTGCAAGTGACCAGAAGGAAACATGACATTGAAACTGTTACTTAAATCCATGCAGTGTATCACATCCTCTTACAGTCCCTTACAAGTTATCGCTTCAGGTTGAATCTTTAATCTACACCAGTGGTTCCCGACCACAACAAAGGGTCGCTTTTAAGGTGTGTAAGAAAACTTAATATACACAGTAGGCCTTTATCTCAGCATTTGGTTCACTTCTGTGAAGTAAGTAAATTGTCTAATAGAACAGGGGGAAAAAAACTTTATTATTATAAAAAGAATACATAATAAATAAGAAATATTCTGCTCAAAATTCATCTAAATCACTCGTTTTAAAAACTAAACTATAGTTACGGAGGTCTCTATTTGGGTTTATTGTAGAGTTTCAAATATAATATGGAATAACCATAAAATATATCACTTAAGCATGGTTCGTCAATTTGCTAAATGATACAACCACTGCTCTACATCATAAGTGCAAGCCATAGTGATTAACCATTCACAATTTTACTTGAAATTTAAAAACCACTGGTTCTATTCTTAAGCAAAGCAAGTGAAAGTGGCTGAACTTTGCAGAATAAAACCGCACGTATCCTCACGCACATAGCCTCCAACCTCTGAATCACAGCTCACATCTCTGATTTGTTCAGTGATTCAAACAGACCTGGCATTGTGCCCCCTGGTTACAGAAACAACTGACCATTGTGAAGCGCTTGGCAGGATTAAGGACAGTGATGTCATCTTCCTACATAACTTGTGAGCTACCCTAACGAAAACAACAACAACAACAACAGAGGAATGTGTGGTGTGCAATGTGTTTTCAACCCCAGGTGTCTAAACTCTAGAGTTTGGGATAGAAATTATGATTCAATTCTGGATCTGTAATGCTGACCAAAGCAATGTTTTAACAGCGGTTGGGTTTTGACATTAGTAGGTGTGAACATAGTTATTAAAGGTGTACATGCAATCATCCATGAAGCAACTGTTTCATCTGAGACTGCTGTCCTTGCAAAGTCTGCTTTCTTTAATTTCAGTAATGCTTGCGTACCCTTGCGTTAATTTCAAGTATGAATCTTCACGCTTACAAGGAACAGAATCTAAATTAGGAGATTATTAAGTGAGTAAGTAATGTGAAACGGCTGTCACTATCTTTTAACATTATAGATGTCCACTTACACTTGTCTCTCCAGCGGCATAGATGGATCCACTCTCTCTCCCAGGAGAGGAGGAGTGTCACTGACCAGACGGAGAGTGGTTGAGTCAGCTGTGGTCGATGTGGTCCCTGTCTTGGTGAGCCTGGTCTGTTCTGTCTGAGCTCGCGAGCGCTCCCTTTCTGCCCCTTCAAACTGAACTGTGAACACACAGAAAGATACAGCAGGTTAAGTTTAAAAAAAGCACATTTAAAAAGCACATTCATTTTAACATTATACATGAAAGTACAGGTACTCATTTCAGAGGAGGAAGCTGTTGAAAGACCTGGAACAGGTGGAGAAAATGTTTTTACAGACAAAAACTGTAAACGATAACTGTCAAAGGGACCAATAACAAACAATATGGCAGCAAAATGTCTAGTCTAATCCGAAGAAGAAGGGAATGGCGGTGTGGGGGATGTTTACGGTGCTGGGAAAAAGTTGCAGAGTGATGCTTCTTTACTGTCTCTGTGCTAGAGACCAGATACCCCGGATCTGAAAACAATCCACCGTCAACTTCGCTGTATTCTCTTTTTACCTGTTGCTCTCTAAACAACACCATGCCGTCTGAAACGCTCTCTACTCCCGATTTGGTGAGGAGAGGATGAGCCATGGCTTCCATCCCAGCGGAGATTAGGTGAATGGACTCGAGCAGATACGGGTTTCCTGCACTGGCTAGCCGCACAAAGTAAACCAGTTGTATGTGTAAGTGAGCTTGTGTCTGTTTGTCCTGTTTGCCTCTACAACGTGTAACATTAACAGCCTGTTGCATGGGTGCACTGATGGTGATGAGTTTTACTCCATTGGTATCGAAATTTGGTACCAAATGACAAGAAATCTTTTGACACTTGGTAGTATCAACAGAATTCCGTTTGTGCCATAAACATATCGACGTTGGTACCCAGGCCCAATACTGAGAATGCCAGTTTACCTGCAAGAGCTTTAGAGATGTTGTCCTTCTTCCACTCCCAGGGCTGATCGTATTCATCAGCTGGCCTCTCATCGTCTTGAGGCAGTCTGCTCTCCCTGCTGTCTATCTGGGCAAGTCCTCCCTCAATCCTCTGAGATTGCTGTTGTGCTAGCGGAGCAGCTCGGGGGTTGTGACGAGTCCTCTCCTCGTATGGGTTATCATATAACTGGCCACCATCTCCGCTCCCAGACCTGTTAGTCATCGCGCTGTGCTGCAGTTCTGCACATTAAACACAGAGAGTAAATGACCGTCTGCAGCGCAAGTAAGTGACAAGCAGGCAAACAGTTTGACTATATCGATCAAAATTTACTTGAACTGAAAATATGGAGCAATAAGATTTAGAGCACTGATGAACGTATAAGTCAAATCTGTTGACCAAGTGTTTTAGATCCTTGTTTGTCCTCTCTTTTGTTTATCCAGTAAATATATCCAGTAAATATATCCAGTAAATACATCCAGTAAATACATCCAGTAAATAGATCCAGTAAATTCCTCATTCTACATTCCTCGAAGGAAACAATGTCTGGCACAATTACTGACAATGATGCTGACTCATATCCTTCCATGAGAAGCGAAACTGCCAGATGACCATATGTACTAGATGGAAAACTTCATTTAACCGGCTAAAGGCAAAAAAGTCCACCATTCAAGTGCACAGTGAACATTAATATAATATCACACTCACTTTACCCCTGGTTGCCATTTTGCTTTCACTTAACGGGGCAAAGGGCCATTAATTGATGGTAGCAATTACCTGTACAATATGCTACTGTTAGTGCCTCTATACAATCCCTTTATTAAGAGCTCAACTGACTAATGAAAGAAAAAGATCTCGTAACAAACCTGAGATGATCCGCTGGGCCTCGAATGGCTCCATGTAGCTGCAGCAGTCTGTTGGTGCAGGTTTTGGCTCCCAGTTTGGTCTGCTTCTGGGGTCTGGCCGGACATCAAATGGATCAGAGTAGTCTGTGTCAGAGTCCGATGCTGCTGGGGCAGAGGGAACCACCTTTGGTAGGGAGAGAGAAACAAAGAGCATCGCACAAATGAGAGATCTGGAAATATGAGTAAGCAAATGAAATAAAGAAAAAGTAAATGACTGGTGTTTCGCTCCTATTTCCTCAAAGAAAAATGAAGCAGAACACAAATAAAAACAGTCCTTACAGGTTCCTCTTGAACAGTCACGGGACTCAGGGGGACTTTACAGCGGCCAAACTCCTGAGAGTCCACTTTAATTAGTCTGTGCTTGGGAGACACCACTTTGACCTGGAACATATCGTTATGTAAATCTTTCAGTGTTGATTAAACATCACCTCAATACTTACATTCAATGGGAGATCTAGGAGAAAACACTACAAACATTATCTAAGGGTACACTTACACACAGAGACATTGTACTTGGTATTTAAAAAAACAACTTAATTCACGTAAATGAGTGTAAAAACATGCATGTCGTACCTCCACACCATTAGGCAGCACTGAACCAAATGCGGGGAAAGAGGGAAGGCTCACTGTGGCACTACAAGGGCTGAAACCGCCATTCTGATGCTCCTTATCAGAGCGCTGGTACGGGTCTTCAAAATCTAACTCCTTCTGAGCTCTGTAAGCCCTCAAAATCTCACTCTCACTATAATCCGGCCTCGGGGGCTGTGGAGGGTCACGCCTGGTGCCAAAGTTTAGGTAGTCCTTCAGCCACTTTGCCATGGATCTGGGAATGAAGCGGCGGAAAGAGTTCTTAGAGTAATTCAGAAGGACAAAATGCTGAAATGATTAGTCTAAAAGAAACTTCACTTAAATTTTGTTATCCATTTATCTATCATAAACATGTGTTGTTATTGCAGCCCAAACCTAGAGGGTAATTTCACTCAGTTCAGTTTATTTTAAAATGTTTTTACTTTAATTGTCCCCGACATCTGTAACAGTTTTTCGGTCCCATTTACATCTTCATATCCTCTCAGATACATGCATGCAACATCCCTTTTTTGGTTGAACAGTGGTCATTTCATTATAAGAAGATCCAGCTGAATAATCTTCCACTTTTTTTTTTTTTTTTTTAGGTCCATTGTTACAGGACATCTTTATTCTCTCATCTGAAAACAAACTTGTTTATGCTTTTCATTTTTCTGTATTTAATAATCTGGTCACTGTTTCTAAAATGTTCTGTTCAATAACCGAGGGCTGGGATGTGGGTGAGAGAGGACGAGGGAGTTAAATCTGTGTATCTGCAGTATGTGTTTGTTATGTAATGCTGTTTTGGTTTATATATGTGTCTTTAAAACCCCCTTGAAAGATGAGTTCCTGCACTTCAAGCTATCCTTTCAAGAAACTCAAACATTTCATCAAACACATATGACCACAAGCCATCCTCTTGCATCAGGGCTATAAAAGGCAAACTCACTGACAAATTAATTGCAAATTAATTGAGTCAAATGGCAAAACAGTAAGCTTGAGTTGGCTCTTTAAGTCTTTTAAGTAAAGCCAGGTAATAACCACCATGAGGTTTGTGTTTACGTTTGGAGTTGTTTATCCCCCGAAAAAAAATTAACCTGGAGAAGAAAAGGTGTTCACATCAATCAACAGGTCCAGTGACAATCATTTCTCCAGCTTTTCCAGGTGAACACAGATGAAAGTGAAGCTGAAGGTGGGTTTTTGTTGTGAACAGAAGTTGAACTCGGTCAACCAATCACTGGAACAACTGACAATGGCTAGTTAGCATTAGAGGGTAAATAATTCAATCAATCACTTACTCATAACAGCAGGTTAAAGACAGTATGTGCTCCAAAGCTATCAGCAAAACGCCAAACAGCTGACTAATCTTGCTGTTATTTATGTATTTATTTAAAAAAAAAAGCTAAAATAATACGAGTTGTACAAGTGATGGAGTCAACGCTTTGTAAATATGCCAAAGCTAAGTTAGCCAAGTTAGCTCGCTAACTAACTGCTAACGTTACTTCCCGAAGCTCACCCTCTTTCTTGGCATTGACGGCTTCCCGTTCCAGTTATGTCTTCCTTGTTACCATCCAGCGTTTTTTTTTTTAGTTTTTAACGTTATCAGAGGTCTTAAAAATAAAACATTTCTTATTCCTGAAATCCGTCCAGCTTCGGAGCCAAGCGGGTTAGTCGGCTATTGTTAGCTGGAGCAGAGCAGACAGTCTCCGACACACAACACTGGCACGGCGGACTGGCTTAAAGGGGAGTGGGGACATTATTTTTAGTTGGTCGACACTTAAAGCTTCAGCTATGTAGTGAATGTTATTTCTGCTGCTGTATCCACGAACACTGTCCTTTGTCTCACAGCTCCTCTAATGTGAACCAATACAGTTAAGTCCCTTTTTTTTTTTTTTTTTTTTACTGTATTTAAAGTAAACCTAGAGGTGGGTTGAGAAAAGAGATAGGGATGTGGGTGTGATGGTAAACAGGTGGGCGTGAATCTAAGATGTTTTAAGTATTCTGAGACCTTGGAGGACAGAGTTGAAACAGTAGACCTAGTTCACAAAATCACTTATCTGTAAGAGAGCTTCTGATAGCAGTAAAGACAAGATAGAGTTAATGTAAGTATTAATATAGGCAGTGGAAGTAAAGTTGCTCCGGGGGCCTGCAGATGAAAACCATCAGTTCATAAAAATGTTTATAACTCATAACTTCCTCAGTTTTTATTGGGATTTACATTTGTACTGGGGTACTTATGGTGGGAAAGACTGTTTGCCTTGTTTTTTTAATCAGCTTTAGCCACTTAAAGTAATACAATTTGTAAAAAATGTTACTATTAAATAATGCATTTAGTAGGACATCAGTGTGTCAACAGACTTTGGTCTCAGCACCCACCGACTCTGCCTGGCTTCCAGCATCCCTGAATATTAATAATGTTATATAATATCATGTTAAAAGTAATGATTTGAACATGTACAGCTCCATGCCAGCAAACTCCATCTGCTGATGAAAAGAATATAATCAAAGCTGGAGAACAAGAAAAGTGGACCTTGTGTTGAAATTGTTTGCAAAGTCAAGAATGACCATAAAGATCAACATTAAATCCATCATATTATGTTAGTATACCCAACACCTTAACATCAACATTAAATAAATGATCTAAAATGAAAAATGTAACACATAAAATTCACCTCAGCCCTGTTAATTATTTTATATTATTTAATTATAATAGAAATATTTACTACCCAAACAAATGCTGAATTACATAGAACCTATTAACTACAAATGTGAAATATCACAAGTTTATATTTGCTTATATTCTCTCTCTTTTGAGCTACATATAAACATAATTAAATATTCAGATCCCACATTTACATAGTTTTATATTAAAAGAGACATGTTGCAAGATGGCAAAACATATCAAGGACAAAGAGTTAAAACAGATTTTAATAAACACTAAAACATACACCCAATATTTTCTCAGGGCAAATTTGCCTCACAAAAACTCAAACATTATAATTTTTTTCTAGGTAAAATTCTTGGGAAGAACAGCTCCACAAATATTGTTTCACTGAGACAACAGACCATACAATTCCTGCTAATGACTGCCAACCAGGACTTAATATCAGTCTTCATGAAAAGGTTTTCACAGAAGAGACCAACAAACTGGTTTACACAAGATTTGGATTTCTGTGCAGCATTACAAAACACTCCATATCATTAAATTCCTTTCTGCATTCATTTATACAATTGTGTGTCAGTCGCTCAAATTAAAATCCGTGCCAAGTATCTTCCTTTCATTCGCTGTCATTGCTGTCACTGTCTGAATACGCCCCCAGCAGGCTCAGAGATGATGAACCATTTTGCGTGGTAACAGGTTTAGAGGCATTCTTGGAGTCAGCCGTAGACACTGTTGAATCTGTAAAACAGGATCCGCAATGATTGTGCCATTAAAATCATATGCACACATTTGATTAAGGTGTGAACAAGCTTATGTGTAAGATTTTAGAAGAATCGGGCTATACAATGTGTTCATATAAGCAGTAAGAGATACCGATGTGATACCTGCTTGTGATTTGGGAGCAGCAACGGCCGCCACTGGACTGGGTTTGATGAACGTCGCTGCTGGTTTCTTTCGCACAATGAGGGACCCCAGTGCCCCTCGGCCGCCCAGCGTCCCCACACTCCTCTCCCAGCTCTCCACTTTGGCCCTCTTCACTCCTCCAGTTGAGGTTCCCTGTGAAAAACACACAGCATTAGACAATGCACTATTCCCTGCTCACAGGAAAGATTTTAAATTGTAACATGTAATTTTAATGATTGCTTGGAGCTTCAGCTACATACACGTGTACAGTATATCGGACCTGGCCTCTACAACTGTGGATGTTTGTCTGTACTTGTCCCTAACACAAAACAAATAAACAAAACTAACCTTTTACATTTTGAACAAATTTAGCAATTTAAGTTATGCTGGCAAAACCATGGCTCTTATATATTATTATTATTATATATACACACATATTGTATCTTATGAAAGTCCTAAATGTATGTTACCCATTCTGCCATGGTTTTGTCCTCTTGTGTGGTGGAAAAAAAGGATATAACATTTTAAAGTTATAAAGATTTTCATGAAATCTATTCTGTATCTTTTCAGCAATAGCCATTAAATGTATTTACATTCTGTAATGACCTCACTATATAGCAACTGTCATGTTAGTGGTGAAGTCACTGGAAAATTATATTGCCTGGGATTTCCAGCATTACTGTTTATTTTATCTTACTAATGAACATTAGCCTCACTGTTCACTCTCCTAAAGCTTCTTATGTACTGCTAATGCAAACCAACAGTTCCTACTGCTGCTAGTTCATATTAAATGTGTTCAAGTGGTGAAACACAATGTGATTATTATGAATCAGTCACTGGAAACACAATGCATTTGTCACCAAGCTGACAGCAGTAGTTCACGGTCTACAAAACAAGATATGGTCCTTTTTGGGCATTGTCTGACGGATCAGTTTGAAATTTTGCAGGAACAAGAAGCAGCTGTTAGAAGAAGGGTTTGCAGGAAACAGGACTATATTGAGGATTATATCTTTAAATAGGGTTAAAAAAAAAAAAAAAACTTGAACATTGTTTGCAAATGTCATTTGAACTGAATAAAATGTAAAGTACTGAATGGGGCACACATTTTGCTGAATGTGAGCAGTCATGCGTACCTGTGCCTCTGTGGGTTTGTCAATGGTGAGGATGTCTGTTGGTTTGTCTGTGCTGGATTTCTTTGACTGCGAGCTGCTGCTCTCCTCCTCCTTCTCCGAGTCAGAGTCAGAGTCTCTGAGTCTTTTCACAAGGGCACGATCCAACATCTCTCTGAAAAACAATTGACACATTCAGATTTAATTGGGGTTTTTAATGACTATTTCTCAGAATTCACCCTAATTGTGAGAAGAATACACATGACAACTTATTCAGGACACAGAGGAAGAAATTGAAGTTCCTATTTGTAGCATTAATTATGTAGTCGCAAGAAGGCAGTGTTGGATTTTTAAATGGTTCTAGCACAAAACCTTCCTCACTCACTTTGTCTCTCGCTCATCCTCTTCTTTCTCCCTTTCCTTCTCTCTCTTCTCCAGCTCTCTGTACCGGTCAATCATTCCCTCAAAGTCCACCTGAGCCTGCCTCTGGTTCAGCTCCTTCAGCTCCTGGAGGTTCTCCAGAACCTCCATCTCCATCTTGGAATCCTTTGTGCGGTTCTCCAACACCTGGTAGAAGATTGGGAAATCATTAACTCTTCTAATCGCTAATTAAAATAATAACAGAAAACGACATTTACAACACCAACCTTCATGGGGTTGTTCAGCTCCTCTTCCTCCCTCTCCTCTTGGATTCTCTTCTCCTCCTCCTCAATCAGTTTCTCTGCCTGGAAGTTTCGTGTCGCACCGTGCTCCATCGCGTAGTCTGTGTTCTCTGGGTCAGTCTATAGTCACAACATGAGATATTTAAGTGTGAGAAATTATTTAGTGCATAATGCTGGATACATCTCTTTCAGAAAATAGCACACACACTGTTTTACATACTTTTCTCATTTCAATACATTTCACTGATCTAATGCTCTAAAACACTCTCACTCACCTTAAATGTGATCTCAGCAAGACACCGAGTACATTTGATGTAGAAACGGAAGATGGGCAGGCCCATGTACAGCTCATTCTGAACAGTCTCCTTACGTGCATTGAACTTCTTCCCCTTGTAGATGTACTCGCCACATGTTTTACACCTGCAAGCAACCAGAGAGGCAATGCGGATGACACTACAGTCACAGGACTCATTTACAGAGGCCAGGAAGTCCTTGGTGGTAAGAGGTAGGCCTGGTCATACTGCAAATACAACCACAAATCTACAACAGCAGCCATGGATTACCTAAAATATAACATTATTGATTTACCAAGCGAGATGTACAGGAGTAGGGCTGCACAATATGGTAAACATAAAGAAATATATATTTATATAAAATAAAACAAGTGCACTATGTTGTTTATGTTTGCATATTGATCCTCCCCTGCCCCTACTAGGTGTGTGGCAATAAAATGGATGGATGAGAAAGACATACCTCATATTGAACGGAGCCATCAATCTGACCACATACTGACGATCTTTGGGGAGTTTAAGTTTGGGGATTTTAGATGGATCAAAATCCGGTGGGTAGTATTTCTGTGGAAGACAAAACAAAAACAAAAAGAGTTAGAAGAGAAAGATATACTTTATAAAGTAATAGTCTTTTTTCCCCTCCCACTCTATGTGAATGTTTACACACACATAGGCCCGAAATACACCCATGCACACACAGGGCTTATAGACAGGCAAATGTGGAGTGATGGGGTTTGATGCTTTGCTCAAGGGCATCTCGGAAGTGCACAGAAGGTGAAACTGGCACCTCTCCATACTGTGGTCCCTACAGACTGAGCTACTGCCGCTTACTACCAAAACAACATCAACTTCTAATGAATCTAACAGTTGTAGTAATATAGACTACTGCAAACAGGAGTAGTAGCTTACAGTTAATGTACTTTAGATGTTTTATTTATTTAAATCCACCAACCAAACAAAGAAACGGCTTAATGTTGTCATAGCTGATAAAAACCACACTTAGCTTCGAAAGCTAACATTAGCCTGCCTTGGTTTCTTCTTCTACAGCTCATAAGCTACGGCTGACTGTTAGCGTTAACATAATACTTACATTCAACACTTTTCTTTCGGACATTGTTTCTTTTGCTGGAAACCCGACCAGGAGAATGAAACGTTGGAATAACAACACTGCTCAGGCTAACAGGCTAACTGCTTCTAGGCTTTACTCTTTACTCTAAACTTCCGGTTGTTTCATTTGTAGCTACTTCAAAGTGTGCTGCTGCCCCCTGGCGGAAGGAGTGAGTACTTACAACGACAGCCGAGGAGAAAACATCCTCACTGCATAACAGACGAGGACAAGGATTTAATCAGAAACAAAGTTATAAAGAAAAAGTAAAAGTAAACAATGTTAAACAAGTGTTTTATTAGAGGCACTAGCTCTCTTTTCTCTGATAGATATAATGGAGGATGGTTGATATACTGTTTATTCAATGGTACAAACGTCTCGATAAACTGCTGTGGAAAAAATAATAGAAAAGGAACTTGCTTTATTATTGTTTATTAATGTGGATTCCTGTTTGCTATATAATAAATAATAAAGAAATTTCAAGGTGCTTTAGATAAAAGACAAAAAGGTATCAAGACAAAATGTAATAGGCACCAAAAGGCAAAATAAACATACATTTAAATACAATAAAAACAAATTATTAAATCAAATTTAATAATAATAAAATACACACAGATATTATATAGCAGGTAATTGAATGAAATAAAACAAGGCTCAGTACTAGTTGATGGTCAGCAATACAGCAGCAACTTAATTGATCCCTTGCAAACACAAAGTATAAAATATAAAAGCACATTTTAGTAATGTTTATTCATGCCAAATCTATGTAAATTACTGCATTTGTGTTGATTTTTACTGATCATTCAATCAGTTACTGATCATTTCATTTCATTTGAAACCGAATGTTACCATTATAGAAACCTTCTAATTCAGATTAAAATCTAATTTCCACATTCAGTTACAATATCACAGTTTCTATCTGCTTTCTACAAAAAAATTTATATCTTTTACATTGTTTTTATAATACTTTTCTATATGGGTTTATGCTACCCATACTAGTTTTATTGATCTATTTATTGTAAAGTTTGTGGTTGCGCTCTGCATCCCTATGCACCATGTCACTTTAACTTGACATCTGTCACTCTAGCCTCTTGGACTGTCATCCAGGTATGTTGTGAACAGTATGCTTTTTTTACCTGCCTGCGTCAAGTGTGATCCTGTGTGGGATACCGTATATGTACTCATATGTTCTGTGGCCTTTGTGTTGTATGTATCTATATGTTCTGTGTCTTTTGTGTCTTTGTTGATGTCCTGAGCACACTGAAGCAAATCCCTAGCAACACAAAGTATTGAATCTTGAATCTTTACTTCACTGAACCTATGTCACATTTAATGTTGTGTGAAATAGGTTATTATTAATGACTGCACCTCACAATACATTGAATGGATGCTTCTAGGTGCATTGTTTTATACACATGGTTTAAATGATTCCCTCGTTCCTCAGTCTGTGAACATTTTATTCTTTTGTCTTGTGTTTGTTACACCTCATGAGCAAGTGAGTGATTAGTCATAGTCCTGTAATGAGATCACAATGCATCTGTCGTGGCAGTTTGATTTATTGTGCTGAAAGTGACACAAACACACACGTCAGAATATTCATATGTCTGTGTATGAATACATTGACATACCTTGTTTTTGTGTATACATAAACACACTAAAATCAAAACTTAAAATACTTTTTTCATCATTTTTACTCTCAACCTGAATGAGTCATAGACTTTATTGACCCCTGCCTTCATTGTGCAGTCTGTCCTGGCCCTGTGTCTTCCTCAGTGGAGGAGATCTTGATCAACATGGTGGAGGAATGGCCTCTCAGGGCTAACTTGAATTGTCAGTGACATGGGGTCTCTGACAGGGTTGGTGTGCAAACATAAGCCTATCAGCACACACACACACACACACACACACACACACACACACACACACACACACACACACACACACGCAGACACATTACTTAGGGGGTGGTTAAGGTTATTCCCACAAAAGGAAATTGGATCCTGATTATAGATTGGTGTCAATGTGGGTTAACCTGAGGTCTGATTTCAGCTTTATTGAACAGAGGTGACAGGAGAAGATAGGCAGAATAGATTAGCAGCAGAAGGGAAAAAGTTTTACAAAAGTTACCCTCCAAAAGAGGTTGTTTGGTGTATGTTAATTATGTTTTATATACCATCATTTGGATTTGACAGTTCCAGATTCAGATTCACAGTTTTGTTCGGCGATGGCCTTATGTGGCGAGTTCGCAGCCTGATTCTGACACATCAAAATGACTCATTAATGAGTCAGATATACAGTAAGTGTAACTGAAAAGGCTTAATTTGCCTACAATAGGCCATATTAGGATTTAAAAATAGACTCCATTGAAGGAAAAGGAGTTTGATCCCCATTCAGCCCCCAGATTACTTTATCAAATATGCTTTGTGAAATGTAAATCCACCTTTAACCCTCCTTGATCCAATTCTGTGATCATCCGGAGATACAAAGGTGCTGAGCAGTGTCATCCATATCAAAACCGGCCATGAATATTTCAAAAGGCTGGCTGATGTCAACAGCAGCCGTTTAGCGCCTATAAAGAGAGGGGGCTCCTCTCTGTGCAGGAGACCTCCAAACCCCTCCGCTGACTTCCCACTTATCTCCACCCGCAGAAGAGAAGGACTCCTCCTGTTTGTGTTTCAGCACCATGGTCAGCGCTCGAGCTCTCCTCCTCGCGGCCACCTGCTGCTGCGCCTACCTGTGCCTCGCTCGTGCAGAGGACTCCTCGCTGGAGACTCGCTCGTTGGATTTCCCCCTGAAGAGCCAGCAGGAGAAAGACCTGGTGAGAGATTCTTTATAACTGTGTCAGCTGTCGGTGCTTTGTTCTGTTCTGACTTTTTAAAGTGACCCTCTTAAAAAAAGATTTATAGCACATAGATATAGAAGGATAAAACGTTACTCGAGTTGTTGACTTAAAGTAGACGAACGAGTCCCCCACAAAACTGACTTTTTTAATCGATTTTTATAAATTGAATTTATAGACACTTTTTCTCTGCAGATTGACGCGTTGCAAGAGGTTTTGGAGAAGCTGAGGAGCAAAGAGATGCCCTTAGAGAAAAAGCTTGGCTGGCTGCCTTCGGTATGTACACCAAATTCCATTTTAATGAATAGTTGACTTTATTATTTGTTGTTGTAATATTTTCTGAATTTATAGAAATAAGTTAAGATAGATGGATTTTTGGACATGTGACATAAAATAAACTTTATAATAAGCGTTTGAACTCTGAAATCAAAGCGTACATACATTTAAAAATGTTTAAATACTGATACTTTGATCAAGAAAGTAAGTCTACAACTTATACCCGCATTTTCATGAATCCATGTTGTTTTTATCGTTGCAGTGTGATGCAGGAGAACCGTGCGCCGTGCGTAAAGGCGCGCGTATCGGCACGCTGTGCAGCTGTCCCCGAGGGACTGCCTGCAACTTTTATGTTCTCAAATGTTTGTGAAGGGAGAGCTCAGGGGAGTTTTGAGTGACACAATATGTTTCCATTCTCTTTGTGAAGAAAATAAAAAACGCGATGTAATATGTGATTCATAAAGGACGATTTTCTTTTATAAACTTGGACTGAAAAACAGAGTTTAAAGGTCTGTAGTCATTTGTCTTTATCAGTGTTCATGATCGTGGCACAGGAGGGAAGTTATTTGTGTGGGATTGTGGCATCTTGTGACAGACTTTGAATGTAGTTTTTAGTTATAAAATCTCGGTTTTCCTTATCATTTTGTTTTGGGTTTTTGTTTGTTGTTGTTCCTGTTATGGGGGAAGACAGTAAAGCTGTATCCTAGCATCGGTTTCTAAACATATTTGTAAGATAAGGAGGTCAATAAATCAAGTAGCCTAAAATTATATTCAAGTGTCTGTGTGTCTGTTGCACTTTTCTAAGAAAGAAATCACCTCACTGGTTGCCTATCAGCAGTTGCATTCTTCCTCAAACATCACTTGTTGGCAATTTGCTGTTGATCAAAATCCCCAAACCGCTTAAAGGGACAACATTAAAGAGAAATATATTGATCCCTTTCGCCGCCTGTCACCAATAATCCATCCTCTTCCTGCACACTCACTAATGCGCGGCTGCATTCCAGCACACCAGCTGTCATCTCTCGGTAATAAAAGGCGCTGTCAGGCTTTTTTTCAATGACATCACATCCAACTGCAAGTTTCCAACATGGCGTCCAGCCGGGTGCCGGAGAGGGAGGTCCGGGAGGAGCCGAGGCGCTCTGCGACTGCAAACCTCGACTTCTGCCTCCACAAATACTCCCTGCTCATCGTTATCGGACGGACCGCTCACCCCAGACAGACGGGACACATCAGCGGGGACATTGAACGAGGTACGTTTATTTCCACCCGCCTCTTACTGCCGCTGTAGGCTGCGTCGCTTTGCTTTTTCTCTGTATTCGCATAAAAAAATCAGACGCCTGCAAGTTTCGTCGCCTAAATCATCACCAAGGATGCTACACTGACCCCATTGCAGTGTTTATGTAATTTTATCCACCCTACTGACCGAGGATGCGTCATCTGGCGGTACTCCACCATCAGCATCACCTCATCCCTCTGGCCACAAAATAATTAAAAGCAGTCTGGAACGGGTGGTTTCTCTTTCGCCTCAGTAGATTATTACGTAATTTTTTTTTGCATATGGGCATGTTGATATTCAGTCAACACATAGCCACTTGTAAACGACATGCCATTATCTCTGTGTGTTTATGTAAAGCAGTGACTGTGGAGGCTGTATGTAGTAGTGCATGGTGCATGGTGCATGGCAGGATATAATAACCCCGGTACAGTCTGTGTTTTTCTGTGTGAGTACAGCTGTAAGATACATTTGAGTGCATTCAGTTTATGTCAAAACTGCATAGATTGTAGGCTAAATAGATAAGGGAACAGAAATATATGGATATATACAGAGAGACAATAAAACAGGGAGATATTTATCATTTTCATTAGGCCTATTAATATTTCATCACTGTCTGGTAAAAAACAATGTACTTCCAAAATGTCAGCTTTTCATGAGCTGAGAAAAAATGGCCCAGTTTTCAGCTGCAGCATGCATTTTGCAAGTGTTGCAATTTTTTTAAATGATTTATTTATCTAAAGAAGTCTAAGAAGTAAAAAATCCCCAAATAGAGTTTTTTAATTTCATAAATGTTGTGTCACTGGCCTCTTCCACTAAAACGGCGCTGTCATAAATTCTACTGTTATGAAGCGTATACATTTCCAGTTTTTGTTGACACTGTTAGAAAGGTGATAATTCTACTTTGTGCATCTTATTGTTGTTAATTTAGTAGTAAAGATTGCACTAAAATACATAATACATTCACCCAAACTCTTACAACTGCTTAAAAAAAAAATAGATTCAGAGTATCTCACATTATCTGGTAAACTGCCCTGAATTTGAATAAAGTCAGAAGAACCATATCTTGAACTACTGACTTAGTTTTGACTATATAATGCTGGTCTAAAGTACACGTAAACACCAGTTATTACATTGGCCTATTTAGAAGGAACACATGATTTGTTGTTAAAAATCTAACCTATTAACAATGCCCTGTACTTCAATGTTTTAGTGTAATCAAAAATGTAGCCTCTCTTTTTTTGTATTAAGTTTTAAGTAATATTATATGACAAGTGTTTGCAAAAGGAGGTGTACTTGTGCTGCATAAATGCCTAAATGGAAAGGGTGCTGGAAAAATTACTATTTGTAAAATCAGTAGTATGTGCACATTAGAACTTTTACACTTTATTTTTGTTTGTTTTCTAATTATTTAGACATTTCTGTGTATTATGTTGTTATAATTGTTGCCCTGTGTAACCAAATGTCTTTTGTGTCTCCAGGCATTCGGTCATGGGACATAGACTTAAAATCCTGTAACCTGAACCTTTATCTCCAAGAATTCCTCTCCCATCACACGGCGTCTTTCAAGGGTGCAGGTAGGTAACAGTGTTTTAATGTGACTCCTTACCCAAACTCTTCGACCCTTTATCGCGCAGAAAGCCCTGTCCCCATGGAAACCCGCCTGCTTGGCCGTTTCAGGGGTCAGCGAGGAAGGAAGGAAGGAAAGTGCAGGAGCAGTTGGGTGATTGTTAAACATGGGTGGGCCCTTTGGACAGAAAACAATAGAGAAGTACAACCAAGCTGTGCCACCTCTCTTTTTGTACAGCGTTTTAGTATGCAGAGCCAAGGACAATCGGGGGAAATGGTGAAAAGGCAGACAAACATCAGAGTCAGACAGTTACAGCTGAGCTTCGAAGTGAGGTGATGAACACAGACAAGAACAGACAGATCTCTTCCTAGGGAGGACAAAATGGCAGCCAGAATGACTTCCCATACATGGTAAATTCTCCTGTAGTGAATTCTGTTTTAGTAGAGCTTACGTTATTTATTTACATGTTATATTGGTTGCCAGAGTTTTGTAAAATGGAGGGATTTGACATGTAAAGTGAAGAGACAGAGAGGTGATTTGGAGAAATAGTGCAGTATTTTGGGGAATAAGCTAGAGTTAGATGAGAGGATCAATACCATTACACGAGAGAGGTATTGATCATCTCACCCAAGCGTCAGCAAGACAGTGAATAAATCTTTTTCCCATATCATAAAAATGTGAAAAATGTAAGCCAGTGCAATAGCCAGTGAGAAGTGGCTATCATTTTTATCTTTTCTTTTTTTTGTTTCTAGCTTGAACTAAAGACAAAGAAACTTTTGTTCTTATTTGGGTCATTATTTTCCAGTTGGCTGTGTCCGCCTCTGCATCTTCATGTTGATCCAGTTCCCCATCAGACTGGATATCCCTCCAGATTGAGTTAACTTGGCATCTCAACCTCAGACAGTCCATCTGACTCAGCTGTTCCACTCTTCCTCCTTCCTCTTTTTCACACAGGGAGTCAATCACTTGCTCGGTTATCCCAGTTCACGTTCTCATTGACTTCTTTGGATTCCTTCCTATTTGCTCAGATCTGTTGGCTTGTTTCCGAACTCCCTCAACTCTGACTTTCCCCATCTCTTGTAAGCTTCCCCTTGGCTGTCTGCCTGTCTGTCCTTCTCTTTCTATTCTTTGTTTTTCTCTCTGCCTCTTCAGGGCTGAAGTGTCTGCGCCACAGTACCAGAGTGTTGGATACTCAGGTGCTGATCAGTCCAACTCAGGAACAGGTCCGTTCAGAGGTGAGGGGATAAATCCTAGTTCCTTCAGAGATGCAACAAGTTCTTGGAAGATAGTTTACCAAGCCAGGTGTTATAATGATGCAGTGCTGCAAGTATTCTGATTTGGACTTATTTTTATCACAGTTTTTTAATTATAGAATTCTATTAAAATGATCTTTTTTAAAGGTAAGTTGAGTTGATACAGTAATTTGATAGTCCTTAATGATTTTCATATCATCACAGACATACAAATAAACTAATTTTTGCATGATTATAATGAGGGCAGCAGCAGCAAATATTTGTTTTTCATTAGTGAATAATCTCATGATTAACCCGATTTAATACATTTTATATTCACAAGACTTGTTTTGTCAGACCAACAGTCCTAACCCCTAAAATATTAAATTTACAATTATATAAAGCAATGAAATCAGTGATTTAAGAATTTAAGAAGTGGTTGCCACCATACGATGGCTTGAAATATAAGTAAAAAGCTGTTAATTGTCAATTCGGCCTACTATCATGCTAATCGGGCTCAAAAAGCCTGTTAGGTTATTAAATATTCTGGTGGCAGTTTTGTTAAATAAAGCAAACAAAGAGCCTCTGTTGTCAGGCGTCAGACCCTCACCTCTCTACCCGTCTTTGGTGGGGAGGTTGAGGTTAGAGTGCCAGATGTTCTGTCACATGAGTGATCCTGCCAACAACGCCAATCTGTGGTGACAATTTTGTTAAATAAAATTTTGGACTCAACAGCATCATTAAGAGCACGAGCACCAGAGAGACCCAAATGAGTAAAGACCAGAGCAGAGCAGTCATACATGATGTATTTCTGGGGCAAAGTGTTTAGATTTATGTAGGTTCTTGAAATTATTTTTTCTTCTTCCCTTATTTTTTCTCTTATGCTGTCTTTTTTATTTCTGCATTGTGGGCCATAAAGTGACACAGCAAAATAAAAAACACTTTTTATTTCTCTGGCCTGGACAGGTGTTGGCTCTGCTGTCCAGGGAATCGGCTCATAAGCTGTTGATCTTGGCTGGTCAGAGTGTGGAGGAAAGTGGAGACCTGCTGTTTCACAGAGGACTGTTCTCACCACAACAACTGAAACAAATACTAACAGAGCAGGTACCACAAAGTCTCCCTATGACTTATTTCTCTGCCAATACATTTTAAGTTACTTTAGCTGCATATTAGGTTAATGCAATCTATAATCTATACGTTTAGGTTGCAAATAACACTTATTTTCACTACAGATTGATCTATATCATATAGATCATATATAATAAAGGAATAAATCTGAGAAAATGCTTTGTCTTTAGCTCAGAGATCAAGACAGCTCTGCCTCCCCCTCCAAACTCAATCTGACGCTCAGCTGTCCCAACATCGGCCAGTGGAGGAAGACTCTCTTGGGAAACCAGCCTCTGCAGGGTCCTTTCACGCTGCACAT